GGACAGAACTGTTCCTAGCTAGGTTTGTCCAGGTACCACTTTCTTCTTAGCTCTTCAGTGTAAGTTACGGGGTGAACAAATCTGACAGTAATGGTCAATGCTGAGCTAACATGAGGAAATGGACCACCCACTCAAAATCTTTACCCAGGATGGAAATATGGCCATGCTCTGTGTGAATTTGTAGAAAGACAGACACACAGGTCTGCTCAGCTTGCCTTTTTTTCCCCAATTCATTTCTAATGTTTTGCAACAGAAACAGGAAATGTTTGATGTGAGGCATCTTTAAGACTTACTGTGACATTGAGAAACTTTGCACATTCTTAACCTTAAAGGCACATTCTTGGAATGACATCCGATAACTTTGCTCTTGGCTCCTCAGAACAGGATGAAAAGAGTTTCCAGTGTGCGTCAATTCATTGTTGAAGTGCTTTGACTAATCGCTTCAGGTTAAAAAAAAAAAAAATCCCAAACCCTGCATCACATTCATTCTGGAGCAGACTGCGTCCAGCTGTACTAGCAGCAAGCCAGAGGGCAGGGTAAAGGACCCTTTACACACCCAGTGCTACCCAAGCAAAGCTGGTCCTGGTCCCTGAGCCCTCAGGATACCAGGGACTTTCTTTTTAGCACCAGCTCAAATAGTCCCAAAGAAACCGAAAGCCCAACAGCTCGCAGAGGAGCTGGCAGTGCAGGCTGGCAAAAGGACGAAGGCTGCAAACCCAGAGGTGCTGTACTGTTGGTATATCCCTTCTAGGCACTAGGGACATGGGAGAGGAAACCTCCCTCCTTGAGCAGATTTCCTCCTGAAGTTCTCTTCCACACAGCTATTTGCACAAACTGATGTCTTGGGGTCACAGGTGATTCCCTGCTATTAGATGTGAGCCTTGCAGAAGAACAAAGGAGAGAAGAACTTAGGGATAGTGGCAGATGAAAAATTGGACGTGAGCCGGCAGTGTGCACTTGCAGCCCAGAAATCCAGCTTTGGGGTCCCCAGGACAAAAAAAGCATGGACCTTCTACAGTGGATCCAGAGAAGGGCCATGAAAATGGTCAGAGGGATGGAACACCTCTTCTTTACTGTGAGGGTGCCTGGAGAAGCTATGGTTACCCCATCCCTAGAAGTGTTCAAAGCTGGGTTGGATGGGCCTCTGAGCAACTTTCTGACTTAGTGGAAGGTGTTCCTGCCCATGGCCAGGGGTTTGGAACTAGGTGGTCTTGAAGGTCCCTTCCAACCCAAATAATTCTGTGATGCCATGGTTCTATGAATCCCATGTATAATGGCACTGACAAGGCTAAGTTGTCTGAACCTCTGTATAAGACTCAAGTGCCCTTAAGCTGACAGAGATGTGCACTGGTTTGCCTATACAATGTTCAGAAGCATCATAACATTTTGGCTATGCTTGCTAACACAGAGCAAATGGGGTGGTGCTGGGCTCAGCCCAAGCCAGTCTTATACACGCCTTCTTGGCATGTACTTCAACAGAAGTAAGGAAGAGGAAGGAGCAAGGATCAACACCTCAAACAGTCTAGTGCAGCCAAACTTGTTTTAATCTGCCCTTCCTGCTGAGTCCTTCTGCCTGAATATGTTTCCTTCCTGCAGCCATTCCACACAGCTAATCTAACCTGGGAAATGCACTCCCTTAGAGAATATCTTGGGGAAACATCGATGGGGGAGACAGAGAGGGAAGCTGGCTGGAAAGGGATTGCATGGGCAGAGCAGGGCGCAGCAGTGATGAGGAAGAAAGGAGACTAGGCAGCACAGAGGACCAGAGCAAAAGCCCTCCCATCACCTTCAGTCTCTGGCTGGATCTCTGGGCAGGGGACAAGCACAGAGGCAAACAGCTGAAGGCAACAGGCAGCCAAGAGTTATGAATCTGTGGATGTCTTTGTTGGCAAAGATAAGAATCTACTGCATTTTTACAGAATCACAGAATATGCCAAGTTAGAAGGGACCCACAAGGATCATCAAGCCCTATGCAGGACCATCCCCAAGAGTCACACTGTTCTTGAACTCTATCAAGCTTGGTGCTGTGACCACTTCTCTGGGGAGCCTGTTCCAGTGCCCAACCTGAGCGAAGAACCTCTTTCTAACCTAAACTTCCCTTGACACAACTTCAGGCCATTCCCTTGGGTCCTGTCACTAGTCATGAGAGTGAAGAGATCAGTGCCTGCCCCTCCTCTTCCCCTCACAAGGAAGCTGTAACTGCAATGAGGTGTCCACTCAGTGTCCTCTTCTTCAGGCTGAATAGACAAAGTGACCTCAGCCACTCCTCATACGGCTTCCCGTATTTTGTGCCAGATGCAACCATTTAAGGGCCTGTGATTTTGTTCCTAGGAATAGAATATCATAATAGACATGCAGTTCACTAAAGGACATTTACATTTGCCTGAGCTCATTGGGGGTGAGCGCATTGACATATGGGATTCTCATACTTAGAGCTGAAAAAGGGATTGTTATCAGGTGAATGTATAAAATGTAGGCATTTAATCCAAGCTGGCTGTAACTAGTCCTTTTTATGGTCAAGTTAAACTCTTTTGTATTGTTGGTGGTGAAATGATTCACTGCTGTAAAGTTTCTTAGGTGGCTGCTGTTCGGACAGGATGCATTGTAGGCATTAGAAAGAGGACAGGAAGAGCTGTTCTCTGCACAGGCGATCTGTAGGTCACCAAAGGTTACATTTTTAGTAAAGGACAAAAATGAAAGGCCAGATTCTGACTACTTCCTTGCTCCATCAGTGGTAATGCTACATCCATGTGTCTGGCCTTCTTTGCCCAAGTGATTGAGAAAAATTCTCTTTGAATGTATTGAATTTGAAATTTACATTTTAATAATGTAGATGTCAGATGTTTTCTTCTCTAGTTCTTACTCTGATGGAACTAGGAATGCTTCTTGCTGGGCATGTGATGGATAGCATAAGCTATGAAGAAAGTACTTCTGCTTACCCAAATCTTCCACTTACATGTGCAAACTCTAAACCAAAAATTGAGTAAAGAGTTTGTATTATCTGGTGGTCATGGGACTGTCAGGGACTGGAAGTTGTTACATTCTTAACAAATAAGATTTCAGCCCAGTGTGTTTCCTTTCCAGGGGTGGAATGGTTCAGACCAGTGAGCAGTATGAATTTGTGCACCATGCACTGAGTCTGTATGAAAGCAGACTTTCTGCAGAAGCTGTCCAGTGAAGCCAAGGAGAGTAAAACCGAATGTCAGTCTCTTGAGGTAATTTGTTTCATTACCTACCAGCAGCTTCTTCAAGGAGTTTACTGCAGTGTGAAAGACGGCTTTGAAGCCAACTTCTGAAAGGATTGTGGACGGTTTGGCAAAAGTATGGAGATTGCTGGACCCTTACTATGTATGAATGTATTGTGAGCTTCCCAAAAATGATTTATAAAGAAGGTACTGTCCTGAAACTACACACGGATTTTGTGTATGTATCTAAAGGTGGGTTTAATTCTGTAATGCTGATATCTGCCATATGGAATGTATGTATGTGCTACTGCTGCAGTCAGATGGACATTGGGACTTCTACAGAAGAAATGTTTAACAAGTGTATAAATGCTTTGACGTTTGCAAACTGTCTTGTGAATGGACTGTCAACTGTAATGTAAAGTGCTATTACTGATTATGTGGTGAGCTTGTTTCTTGGCCACATAATATTCTTGCTGCTAAAATCGCAAGTGTTCAATTATGGATTTAAAAAAAGATGAGATAATAAAAAAATTAAACATCTTGCTTTTGAAAATATTCAAAAGCAGTTAATATTTTGTATGGAAATATATGTTCTTCATACTGTTAACTATTAAATGTGTATTTACTGTAGGTCTTACAGAGCAGCTGCAGAGCACAATGTCTGTTCTTCAGTGTGTTTGTATTTACCCTATATTGTTGACTGTCTTAGAACATGCTTCTGCTACAGACCCAAATCCAGTGTATTTGTAAATTGTGTAAGTCATTCTACTTTTAAAAGAAACTTTGTAGCATATATTAAATGGTAAGGATTTTAAATATTTGTCTGTCTTTTATTAATATGGAAATTTTTGCATATGTTGTTTATCTGCTCTATCTCTTCCAGTAAGCGATAGATGCCTTTAGTGATATGGACTGTTCCATGACAGGTTATACAAGAAAGAAAATGCTGCTATGACTGTTTCTTTTACTGTTCAGTAAGAGTTTGTTTTTAAGAGATATGCAAAGTTGGCATTTTGACTTACAGCACTGGGAGGTCTGTTTACAGGGTATAATGAGTTTTTAATGCAGTGATGTTGACTTTGCTTCATACTGCTAATGAATTAAACTTGGTATAAAATATTAACTGGAGTCTCTGTTCTTGCCTACAATAGTTAATGCCCCAAACGCTCTTGTACCTCCATAAACAGGCTCAGCCCAGCACAATTTGGTTGGCCTCCACCATAGCTTCATACCTCTTGGGAACCAATCCAGAGGACACAGGCAATAGCAAGGTGCACCACCTGATGGGAAGGCAAACCCAGCATCATTTGATTCCTCATGGGGAGCTTCTGTAAGACCTGATACAGATCCTAGAGGTTTGCCTCCTCCTCCTCCACCCTCCACTTGGCTTTTAGAGCTTGTGGAGTTAGAAGTATCAATATTGATATTTTGCTGGATTATGTATAGTTACAAAGAATATGTATTTGTTCCCAGAATATTACAGGATATATCTACCCTGCAATATCCAGATGACCTGCAAACTTGTAATGTTTCACAGGCAATGAATTACACAAAAGTATAATCTCCTTTCTTCTAGTCTAAAGAGATTCAATATATTCTCTATTAGTTTCCCAGGTGTTTGAAAACATCTCTGTTGCTTTTATTTTTCCAAAATAAACCTATTAGTACACGCTGAAGAATCATATAAAAGGACAAAGTGCTGTAAAACTCCCCAAAACAATTGAATAGAAGGAAGTGCTCGTCACCGACTTTTTCCCCCTGTGAAGGCACATTTCCTTCCTAGCCTTCGCTTCACTTATCTGGGGTGGGTTTTTTTAAGAGAAGCATGGGGAGTTGCTAGAGGGAAAATGGATTCTTTATTTCACGTCCTGGTTTCTACCTGTCTTGCCTTGACATTCTCAGGTAAGTGTCTCTACATCCTTCCCCTCCTCTGTGTTGCTCTTTCTGCCACTGAGCAGAGCCCTCCAGCACAGCCAGTGACTTAAAAAAAATGAGTCACCTCTTCGCTGTGGTTCATATAAGAGGAATGGGGGGCAGGGCCAACATAGCCAGTTCTGTTTAGATTTCTTTCCAAAGGAAAACAAACTGTCTCCTTCTATGCTGGAGATACCTCTTCTTCTTTTAAGAAGATCTCCTGATAGACAATCCAGGAGATGAGTTTTGGGAAAAATTCTTTAAAGGGGAGATTCCTATCTTTTATTTAAACTTAGTGCAACTTCAGAGACAGGAGCTTTCTGTGACGCTTAGTTAGAAAATACCTAGGTCTGTACAAATATCAACTGAGGGAAATAAATACATATTTGGTTTGGCACTTTGTGACTAATGAGGCTGGAAATGTTTGAGTAACTGAGATTATAAAAAGAGAAAAACCCAAACATGATATGGTAGAGAGGCTGCGTTTAAAATAACCAGTTCTGTATTCTGTAACTTTGTGGGGTTTTGATGAATGCATTGCAGTCCTCTTCATTTGATTATCTAGTGTTGATCTTTAAGTGTGGTGACACAGAGAGCTAACCGTACATGAATTGGAATGGTCACAAAACTAACAGCCAGAGACGTTGGAGTAAATCCAGTAACATAGATGTACTTCCTATCAGTAAAGAACCTCCATTCCTTTAATGACACAGGCACTGAGAGGCACACAGATTTGTGAATATGTTTTCTTACATGTTTCTTACATATTTTCTTCAGAAACACTTTGAATTTTACTAAAACAACTCCCAGGCAGTAAATTATATTTTAAAATGTCTGTGTTGTAAAACTGAAAAAGAGACTGAGAACTTGTGTAGATCTCTGTATGCTTTCAAGCAGAGGAAACGAGGTATTTAGAATTGGTATTTGAAGAAAATACTTCTTGGCTTTCTTTTATATCTGGTTTAATTTTTTCTTCATTTTTATGTATGATGAAGGCCATAATGACCTTACCACCATAGTTCGCTTTTTACATTCTCGTAATTTACATTACCAGCACTTGCATCATGTGGCTGGTGTGTTTGTTTTGGTTTTTTTTAATAAGTTCAACTTATAGAATGTTGCATGAAAAGTTCAACACATAGAAAATGGGAAGAGAGATTTTATTACCAATGTATTTTAAATCGTCAAGAATTTGTTTTTTGTTAAATACCCATGTGTAATCTATTGCATTTTTCTGGAATTTTGCTTTTCCAGAAGGGTTTCTGATTATCCATGTCCAGAAACAGCAGTGTCTTTCAGAAAAGAGAGGAGTCATTATGGAAAAGTGCAACATGACAAACCTCAACCAGAAGTGGCAGTGGATGGCAGATGACAGGCTCCTCCATGTGAAATCTGCCCAGTGCCTGAGCATCTCTACGCGCTCTGCTCTGTCCTCTCGCAGCATCATCGTTGATTGTCCCCAGGCAGTTAGGTGGACTTGCCATGAAGACGGGCTCCTGAAGGTGGCAAACAGCTCTCTTTTTCTCACAAAGCAAGGTCAGAAGGTAATGGCTAAGCAGAGTAAAAAATACCTTCATACATGGATGCAGCTAGAAGCCAGTGAGACGGGAAAACCCGTTTATGTAAATCTGTGCTCAAAGCAAGGTGAGTTACTCCTTCAATGAAGTATTCTGGAAGTTTTGGCAACAAAAGTGTCTCTGTTATGCTAACTCAAATGTAAAAAATTCTGATGTTTTATTCATACAGAAAAATGCTTTTCGTAGTTGAAAATCATTTAGAGAACTATAAACGAACAGCTGAGATGATTGCTGTCTTTGTCACAATTGGTGGAGTTTTTAAGCCATTTTATATTTTCAGGATGTCTCTCCTTTTCTCTACTCCCAATCTTTGGATCAAAGTGCTTATGTGTAAGCTCAGCTCACTATTATTGTGTCATTTCCTTTTTTAATTTCTAAACAGAATTGTGGGTACTAATTCCTAGTCCTTTTAAAAAATGTGGGTGTTTAAAAGTTCTTCTCCTCCCCATTCATTTTATCATACAAATCCAGATTCAATCTGTCAAGAGCAAGAAGACGTCTAAAAATCGAACACATGCACAATTATTTCTCTGAGTAACCCAAATGCATGATTAGAACAGACATGGCTTACACATTTGTGTGTTTTCCCGGTGTCTTTTTGCCCTTAGATGCCATATTAATGAGAACACTCAAAATCCTGAAAATAATGAACTGAATCAAAAATCTCTGAAATTCTTGTAATAGTAGCTTGAGGTGCACAAGTCTGTGCACACAGACACATACCTGTATACCTGTGTAGTTATGGGTTTCCATATCCATGGCAAAATGGAAGGTAAAATCTTTTGAATGCTGCTTAATAACACTTTCTTCAATGTTCTGTTGTCAGTCCTTCCTGGCAATCCCATTGACATTGAAGAATTAAGCAATTCTTCATACTAAATAAGATCAACCTACAGACTTAAGCTTTTTATTGGAGAACACGCAGTTTATTCTTGCCTTTACAAGATTAAAAAAAAAAGTTTTATGACCTAATACTTTTGCACATAGCCAAGTTTTCAGAATGTCTAAAGCAAATCCTCATTCTTTCTAACCTCCTAGTTGTAAGGCAAGGTATCATTATTTTCAGCAAATTTGCACTTGGAGAGCTCTACTCAAAGGATTAGGATTATTCCCCTTAGTGAAGGTCTGAAAGGACAATTTAGAGAATCAGGGAATGGAAAAGTGGCCAAGATGCCCTCCTAGCCCTCCCATCCATGTTAGAGATTAAAAAGGCAAAATGATCTGAAGTCCTGTGTGGCAAGTATAGCTTATTTATTCAGAGACACTGTGAATGGTTCAGATGAGGTATGCAGGCAGTGTTATTTCCTTTAGATAGCTGGATGAAGTGTGGCCTAGAAAGGTTAAAGTAACCTTACATCCTTTTCTTAATCATCCATCACAGAAGAGGCAATTTAAGACCAATAAGCACTAAGACAATTGACATGAGATATGAAAACACCCTCTCATCTATTTATGTGCTCAGTCATTAAATGAATTTACCTTAATTTTCCTGAAATTCTCTCCATAGACAGGCCAAGCGCTTAAGAACCAAAGTGGGATCTACAAAGATATAAAACATGTAGGACAAGGAATTCAAATAGCAACTAGAGCATCTTTCTCTCTCTTGTTTTGTTTTCACGCAAAAATAGACTAAATGTCAGATACTATGTATGAGCCGAAGTCTGCTGTGCGATCTGACGTTCACACTGTTCCTTCCTCCTTGTCTACCCTTCTCGCCCAGTATCTTCTCTTTCATGTGGACTTCTCTCTTCCCCTTATCCCTTTTTAAGTTTACCTACTTCATAATCAGAACGTGAGCTTATTGAGTTTACATCCCACTGCTGACGCTTCAGTGGCTGAGATGGAGCACAGAAGATACCGGAGCAATGTACACTCCAAGCATGCTCCAAACCACTGGAGCAGCAGTAGCAACTGCAGAACATGGAAAGGGAAGACACATCTGTCTTCTTGGGACTCTTGGGAATGTGGAAAAACACCAAAGAAAGGTGGCAGAAGCACAGAAAAGGCAGCAACTCTTACCCATTTTTAAGATGATGTAAATACCTTTAGACTTTAATTTTTCCACACCTTTAGTGTTTGTAGTGACTGCAAGAATCCATCCATAGGTTCACTAGACATTGGATTTTTGTGTGTGTATCTTTTACAAATTTCTGCAGGATAAATTAGAACAGTGATAATCAATATTTTCATTCCACCTTTGAGATGACCCAAAACATTTTTCCTAAAAAAAAAAATCACTCAAATCCACTTGTATCTCTCTGAAATATTATTTTATAGGATTTTTTAAATAAAAGAGTTTGCTAACATCTATGTGAACCCATGAAATATCAAATATTAACTGAATCTTCTTTCTTTGGTCAAAGAAATACATGGCTGACCACTTTTGCTGAGCTTCATCTGGACAAAGAGAGGTCTCAATATCAAATCCTTACATAATTACAAAATCTTGTACTCAATCCCATATCGTACTAACAGAAGCTATTATCAATTTTTCTCATCATTTTTTGTGACAAAATTATTTTCATTTGACAAACGCTCATTTCCCCCTAACATTTCAACATTAAAAAAACCCACAAGATAAAGATAAATGTGGATTTAGATTTTCTAAAAAGAAATTTAGAAATCTGCAGAGTACCTACGTCTCTGGATTTTGTAAATTCTCAAAGTCTCAGTGAGACACAGCACAGAGAATACAGAACTAAATCAGCTCAGGTACCTTCATAGGGAAAAAATGGAACAGTAGGAACAGCTTCTCAGAGCAATTAGGAGTAAGGCAAGTCCTGCTTTATGATTTCATCCTCTTCTGCAAGGGCAAACAAAGATGCCTATTCCAGACAACCCTACTGGTATTTTTCATTTTTACATTCTGTCCCTTTTTTTTTGTGTGAACCTCTCTGTAGCAGCTGGAGTGGGTTTGAGGTATCTAATGTAGGTGTCTGAAGGAAGGGCTTATTTCAGTTTTCTCAACATAGGTGCTTTTTGTCATTTGAGATGCTCCAGGATATTCCACCTGATCTCTGACTGCCAGCCCAGAAGGACATAGGTGTCGCACAGGTGTTATGAGAGCCCTGAGCAGAGGGCCTGAAGGCAGCTCATATTCTACTGAGTTTAGGCAACTGAACCAAGCCCTAGGTATCCACATAGAGGTAACTTCCTGAACCCTCTTGAGTAGATGTGTATGTAATCCATGGAGTTAATGCAGTCTAGATGCCCTTTAGTGACCAAAAATCCACTTCAGGGTGAGCTGGAACTATCCAGAGTGTCAAAAATAGGGTTGGTACAGCAGTAGTGTTATCATCAAAGATGTACCTGGGATGTTCTGCTACCGCTGGTGTTGCAAGAGCCTCTAAGTGTCTACTTCAGCATTTCCAAAACAAGCAAGTAAAAGAGCAGCTCAGGATTAGACTGGAGTGGAGACATTTGACCTCTGACATGAGATAGAAATATTGCTAACTTCTACAACATTCAAATAAAGAAGGTAAAAAACTTTCAAGCAGCACAAATTTTGCAGGTTTTGAAAGGTCTGAGTTGAATGGCAAAGAAAGGACGTTTAGTGGATTTTGTTCTTCTGTCATACTCTTACATACAACAGAAATCTGAAGTTTTTTCTTTAAATGGTGTTTATTTTTGCACTATTTACAAGCAGTTAGCTAAAAAAAATAAAGGGACCTTAAGGCAACTCCTTCTAGTTTCAAGTCTTACTGTGAGTTATACTCAGTCTTACAGAGTATTTTGTTTTTTATACACTAGATATCTGATTAATTTATGTTTCACTAGCAGTTCAGCCTTAGTTTTCTGAAACTGTGCTTTAATAAGGTAGGTAGATTGGTGAAAAGCAAGCTACTTCAGAAAGGTGCACATTGCCAGCTTGGTCTGAAGGCACCACTGTAGGTGGTTCAAGTTCTCAGTACTTGACAACTAATCAGTGCTCTTGCTAATCATAAATGAAAAATGTATGGACTTCCTTTTCTTGTAAGCAGCCTGCTGCTGTGCAGACGGATGCAGTTTGCAGTGTGCCCCATGGATGAAATATGCACTTAGTCAGAATGTCATAATTTCTACTAGGTGTGCTACTGGTGATTACAATGTTACGTTCACACACTGTATATCATTCAGCCACTAGTGATCAGCGTCAGTGTCACTGCTGCTGTTCTGTTCCCATGAACAGTTTTATGACTGATTTCCAAAGAGACTTCTAGAACAATGCTAAACACTTCTGAAAAATTCCACTGTTGAGATTTCTGTGTACTTTATACTAATGTCCAGACAGGAGTTGAGGTTTTTTCTGGTTAAAAAAATTTGTAATTCAAGTTCTGTAGGAATCTGCTTACACGGACCTTATAATATGCTTTTTTTTTTTAAAGTGCCTACTATTGAAGAAGGGCTATGAGGGTCCTTCTGTTAGGACCACATTAGTGGTTTTACTTAGAAAGAGAATATAAACGTGGATTCTGACTTTCTTGAAGTGAGGGCAGATAGGAACCCTATTAGTCAGTCCTGGAGGATCTGTGGGAAATGCTGATACATACATCTGAAGTTCCAGCGTGGCATAGTGCTATACACATCCATTCGTTACAGGTAAAGGACTGTAGTCAGTCTTTGCTGGAAAAGATTCTTTATCTGGAAACCCAGAAGAGCCCCAAGCTCTAACAAGAGAAGTTGGGTTGTGCAGTGACCAAATGCTTGTTTCTGGTACCTCCTTGGGCTGGTGGAACTTTCCTGAGGACCAAGCATTTCATTTTGAGGACAGTCAAGCTCTCCCCTTGTCTCCTGCACCAAGAATACCAGTTATCCCCTGGCTGCTGAGTCCCACAAATGTTGCTGGCAGCACTAGCTTCCCTTTTATGGAGGAGCAGCTCTCCTAAAGCACAATTGCCCTGGAATGCAAAAGCCTTCCTGTTGGAATCACAGATATTTGTCTGTAATTTAAGCCAAGATTTTTTTTTTTTTTTTTTTTTAAGTTGGGTGTGTCAATTTATATTTAGGAACCCAATTGTGGCCTTTTTTCCTGAGCCATTGCTTACCACTCAGGTACTTCTTCTTTAGCTATCTTCCTATCATTAGGTTCTACTCCCTACTGCACTCAGAGACTTCCGGGAGGCACAGAGGCACAGGCCTAATTCTTTCCAAGTCCTCGGGGCTAGGATTTCTAGTTGCCTATTGCAGACTATCAGGGACCCACGAGTAATAGGAGATCCCCAGAAACAGCAACTGATAGGGAATTTAGACTAAATCTGGGCTTGTGTCAGCTAATGGGTTTGTCGCAGGAGATGATGAGAGCTTGAGCGCAATTAGATAAAAGGAGGGTAAACATTTAATCTGAGTATCAACCCATTCTAGTGAATCAACACTTTTCAAAAAGATCCAGAACCACGGTGAATGCACTGGTACATGTCAAGCACAGGAAATAGTTGCATGAAAGTATCTCATACTAAGGTTAACAATCTCAGTTTTCTTTCTCAGTGCAAATGAGAGTGCTGCAAATTTCTCTATATAAATGTGTTAGCATATGTATTTACATGTATATAAGAAAAGCATCATGTTGATTTCATGGATGCTCATCTACTTATCCTTTGGGTAAGAGGTAAACACACACTGGCCTGCTAAGACATCATAATTTCACACCAAGTAATTGCATTTGAAAGCTTCTGCTGCAATTTAACCCAGTAATTTCTTTGTTTTTAGAGGATTTGTGAGCTAAAATTGTTACAAATGGCAACCAGCCCAGTGGCTCAGCAGCAAACAAGGTTCTGTCAGGCTGGAGACCCCAGTTCAAGGACTGACAAAGTGTCTTGGGCGTTGAGCCAATGCACACTCGCTGTGCTACAGCAGTAGCAGGGCAGCTTTTTGTGAGATGAGGCCAGTGACTAATTCCAATTGCTTAGCTGAAATGTGATGCTACCAGATGTAGAGGCCACCACAGCTTGAACCCTGCCCTCACAGCCACAAAGAAAGGATATTAAATGCATACCAATGGGGAGGAAGAGCCATGAAAATGTGGAGGAAAAATGTGTAGTAAAATCTTTCCTGAGCTTTAATTGCAGATTTGGCTTTCTCTGAAGGGTACGTGACTGAAAAAGCAAATCCACCATCATATTTGCAGATACTTCAGTTAAGTGATAGATTGTTATCTGAGCCTTGGAAAGGCAGCAGTCAGGGACTCGCATGGTCTCTGCATAGGACTGATTTTCAAAAGCAAAAGGTATGTGGGCACAAGGAACTTATCTTGGGCAAATATCTCAAACAAAAAAAAAATTATCTTGAATAAATCATCTTGAAAGATTATCCTGAACAAAGCCATGTTTTAAACTTACACCAACAGAAAGCAGATGAGAATCTGGCCTGTGCACTTAGAAAGGGGGGAGAGGGTAGACAACATAAAGCTGATCCTGTGTGCCATTCAATAGGTCCAAGCAAGTGAAAAAGCTCTGAGTGAAAACATTGTGCTGTTAATGACAAAGTACAACCTCTCTTCACTTCAGGATCCCTGATGGATTATCCTTAAAATGAATGGTATGAATGTTCAGGGAAATTTTTTTTTTCTGTTTTGCACAGACTTTGGTACTGATGCAAAAATACATGTTTGCACTGAAAACAAACAAACAAAAAAACTATAGAACTGACAGGTGCACTTGAACTACTTAGAAGTTCTATCAGCCACATTTATTGAATCTACTTAATTGTTTATAAAAATGTAGAGCTGATTTTAATTACTTCTCCTTTTTTGTCTTAGATCTCCAAGATGCAGACACTTCTGTATGGAGTAGTAGAACTACATTCCCCTCTTCAAATGCTGTTACTTCTAGACCTGAAAATATGCTGAAGAGTAGCACAGAGATGTTCATCAGAAATGTGACCGAACACTTCAGTAAAAATTCCATTGAAAAGCTCTACTTTGACTTGAAATCTGCAGTAACAGAGAATGCCTGGATTCCAACAACCACTCTTCAATACTATAGCACTACAGAAGAGGTAAGACAGAAGAATTACTGATTTTTATTAAGATGCCTCCACTCTGTGCAGCCTGATAGCTATTACAGGTGGATGTTTTGTGGGCATAAAAAAACAAAACAAAACAAAACAAAACAAAACAAAACAAAAACAAAACAACAACAAAAAAACACCACCCAAAAGAAAACAGCTACAGGAAAGCTTTGTTCTTTTTTTGGTGGGATGCTTTGTTTTGATGTTCATGCTGACAGTGCCCTTTACTAGGGGCATAGCTGCAGAAAAATTCTGCCTCTTCTGTTACAGCCCAATCTTGGTATGCACAATGCATTGGGAAAATCTCTAAGCTCAAGGGATTTTATCAGGATATGAGGAGCAGTGGAAAGCTCACGGATGTGGCAGGAGCCACAGGAGCCTGGGTATCTGCTCTCAGTGACTCAGGCTCTGTCACTGGTTTGTTGCATGATGTGAGGGTCTAGCTCTAATAACACACTAAAAATTACATTATGCAATGATTTTATTTATGAATAATTGAGTCCTAAAATTACAGACATTGTTTACAGATCAAAGCAAGAGAAATCTGAATGCTTTAACTTGCATTAAAAGGAATCCTGGCCTTGGCCATGGCCAGCTTATCTACTGAGTGACAGGCAGAATGGAGACACACAGGTGCTTCTTAATCTCTGCTCTGTTGAACCACAAACAGCCCTGGCAGAGCAGGGGAATGGGGCTGCCAGCCCCACCTATAGGAGGAGAAATGACAGGCATTCAATACCTCCAAATCAATTTCCAGTCTTCCTTTTTTGCAAGACTCAGTTGAGTAATCTGAGAGTAAACCTGGAATCACCATTGGCAAAATGTGCACGGGCAGTTAGAGCTAAAGCATGCAGGACATTATTGGTCACCGTACCACTATCATCACATAGTGGTTTAGAACTGAAAATCCCTAAATTCCCTGGTGCTTCCCTTCCAGGAGACCACACTACTCTCAGTGTATTGGGGCAGGCAAACATGTTTCAGTTACTGTGTGTTGCTGTGGATAAAGACTAAGAAATGTGTTTTGTACTTGGGAAGGCTGAGGAGAGTGTCAGAGTCTGTAAACTCAATTGTTTACGGACCCTGACGCTGCTGCTCTAGTGCTGATGGTGGGAAGGGGCTGAGCTGATGATGGAAGCACTGCACCCCATTCCATCGCTGATGTAGGCAGTCCGTGTAAAATATGATTATTCTGGAGGCACGCTGAGCTTATTTCCTCATGCCTTCTGTCCATATAGCATACCTCCTGCATCGAATATTGGTTCCTTCCAAATGGAAATGTCCTATAAAATCCGGTAGCAGCCAGACTGCCTCCAGCACTCCTACTAAATAATACAACCAGAGCTAGAGAAATGGCACCGGTTGAACTGCAGAAACTACCGCTACCCCACTTCACCTCCTGATGACACCATTTGCACTGAGCAATTGCTTAGGTCAAAACTTTCAAACTAGAATTCTGATGATACATGTATCAATGAAAAAAAGAATAATCGCTTTCCCAGCTAGCTCCGGACATTTGAATCTAGATATATCAATCAGATAAATCAACACACAAACTTAAAATCTGTGGCCTCCATCTCTGTTTCCCAGTTTTTAGAATGGAGTCAAAAACATTTTTTGTCAAACTACTAGGGACGTTTAGAGGATTAACTGGATTTAACACAGTACTTTGAAAACACATAGACTGAGTGCTGAGTATTGCTGTGAGGAAGACAATACCTTATATGAACTGCTTTTGCCCAAGCTAGGTCCTCTTGTTTGTAAAAGTAAAGGCTTGATATTATTTGGCTGTGCGCATACCCGTTTTGGGGGGACAATAGTGGCATTTCAATCAAACAAAATGTTTGGTTTAGAGCTGCCTTGGAGTTCAAGTAAAACTGCAGTTTGCACTTTGAATCCATGACAAAAGCTATGCAAAGCCCATTTCCTCTTGATTAGAGAGACAGAGAGGTTGGTGTTAAAAAAAAAACCAACTCAGGAAACCTTGGGAAAGTGTCTGAAAGGGACTTTGGAGCCTGCTATTAGAGACACGTCCGGTAACTCCCAAAACTCACTTCCAGTTCTTATTTCTTTTTTAATTAGTTTCTTGGCTTGCCACACAGATCAGTAAGTGTTAAAGGCTATGTGACTGCTGATCTGCTAAAATGCTATTTATCCAATACCAATCTGGAAATAATTACTTGCATTATGTTGGCTATTTTATATAAATATATTGCCACCACTAAATGATGGACCTGTCATGTTTTATTTCAGTGCTGGCATAGGCATCTGTGTCAGACCTTACTTACCCTTGCAGAAGCTTTTGCTGGATAACATACAGAAGGAAGTCTCAAAACCAGTAATAAACCAGTTCTTTCCTACTAATACAAAAAGATAAAGATCCTATGATAGCAAGAATAAGACTAATAAAGTATGAACTTCTAAATTATGAGCCCTTGTGAGAAGCAGTAGCATCATTTTCCTCCACACATTATCTTGCATTAGCTGGAAGAGATAAACAAATATGTCTTTCCAATAGTCTTTAAATTTTACTTCTGGTAGGTTCCACTTTTTATCCTGAATTTTATGTTTGCAATGTTGAGTATGTTTTTTCCCTTTCACATATTACATCTGCTTAAAAAACTTACACCTAAATATCTGAGTTATATCTTCCCTGCAAATTCAAATTATGGATGTTTTCAAAACTCCTTATAATAACGTGAGCTCTGCTTTTGAAGAAAAGGCAAGTTACTCGCAATGTTATAATTACAGAGAGGAGTTTGAAGTAATCCAAACATCCCAATAAGCCTTCATATCTCTGCTTCTCTAGTGCTGGAAAAATATTGGTGTGGTTTATACCATTAGGTCCAAAAACCATGATCATCTAAAGATGGAATCACACTGTAAAACTCTCTCACCTTGAATGATTACTAGACAGCTATGTAATTTGAATCCCAGTTCAGATCTAAGAAACCCACCTTGTGTTTCCCATCAATGGTATGTTTACCCCTGTGCTAGCTCTTTGGGGCTTGGTCGCTCCTCCTGTCTGAAGTATGCAAAACATCTCTTCCAAGGGAGATTGTGTTCTGTGATGGACTTGAGAATGGCATAATAATCAACATATATTTATATTGTCACTTAAAGTGATGTTCATACAGTTAATAATCATCCTAAGCTTTGCAGGATAGAGCTCAGCACTTTCAGTACCATGTACCTAGGACCATGGAGCTCCACTGGGACAGATGAAATTTTCTGTATGTGTGGGTAACACCCTTGAGTGCCCAGACGTTTGGTTTCAGAACAGAAGAAGTAGAGCTAAGGTTTTTCAGACATTTGTATCTTGTTTGACAGGCTGACTGCCCAGAAAAATCCTAGAGCAGCAGCTCCCCTAAAAGGCAGACTAGCACCTGTAAACCTAGAACCTTTTTCTCCTTAAAATGGGGCAAAAGTGATAGAGACAGTGTTGAATTTGCTTGAGGTATTGCATTTAAAATTTAAAATCCCACATGCATCATGCAATACAGGAAGACACAGAAATGTGTCATTCCCATTGAAGAAAATAAATGTCAAATTCCTTCCCCTTTATGCAATCCTAAATTCACTCCATGGGTGCTATTTGAATATCTGAACGTGCAAAACACTTCTGGCTACATTTTTTCTCCCTCACCCTACATACACATATATATGATTTTTAAGATGATGAAACCTGAACAAGGAGGAAATGGGTATGCATGGCAGAAATTGCAAGTTTCCATTTTTGCAGCAGCCAGCTCGGAGTTGCGCACAGCTTTTTTGGTGCAGTGTGAAAACAGAGAAACTTTCTTGCTTTCCATGGTGTGTGTAATTTTAGCTTGGGAGTTATTTGGGGGATGTGGGAAGGAATTGTTTCAAGGACACAAGTTGATGCAGAACAGAACAAAAAGCTGAGATGACTGCTCACAGACAGACTACTCTTCTGCTGCAGGTAGCAGCTCGGTGTCAGGCTCTGCTGGGACTCTCCTGGACACAAGGCCTCTGTTTGCAATGCCATAGGGCCAGGGAGACCATGGAGGATTTGGTGGTCCATGGCTAACCCCTAAAACCATCAGTTTTTAAGATACAGAAAACAGGAGCTGGAATGGTGTGTTAGTGATGGCTGAGGCGAAGAGGAGGGTGGGCTAGGAGATGGGGTGGCTGTGAAGAGTGGCAGGCATGAGGGGAGCTGGCACAGGAGAGGTGGCCATGGAGCGAGGCAGGTATGAGGTGAGGTGACCATGAGGAGTGGCAGGTGTGATGAGGAGGCACATGAGGCAAGGCAGCTGAGAGGCAAGATGAGCATGAGACGAGGCAGATGCAAGGTGAGGAGGTCGTGAGGCAATGCAACCATGAGACAATGCAAGGCAGCGACAAGTGAGGTGCAGCCAGCATTAGGGGAGAGTGCCGCCCCCCAGCAACAACGGCACCGCCTGGGGGGCCGAGGGGCCCCCATGCACCTGGAGGAACGCTTGGGAAGACAAGACCCAGGGGAGAGCCGGCATGCAGAGGAAGCATTGAGGAAGGAAGGGAGGTGGGGTGGGAGAGGAGCCGGGAGGAAGGTGGGATCCATAAGGAGCGAGGGGCGGCACCCCGGGGCCGATCGGCTGCCCGGGGGGCGGCAGGTCCCGGATCGCTGCGCTTCGCCCCCCGCAGCGAGACGCGAGGAAATCGCCTCTTGATTGCGGAAGTCGGCGGGAAGGGCTCCGGCAGAGTCAGCCCGGGTCAGAATGGCAGCGTGGGAAGCGGCGGTCGCCTCCCCCGCCTCCCCGCTCCTCCTCAGCCGCGGGCGGGCAGCCCCCCCACCCAGGCCGGTGTCAGGGAGGCGGCTCGGCGGCCGGGGCAGCCCCGAGCGCATGCAGGAGGCGGGCGGCCCGGCACAGGGCTCGGAGCCCGGCGGGGAGCGGGGGCCCCCGGGGCCCGCCGCCGCCACTTCGCTTCTTCGGAGCCCCCCCACCCCACCCCGCCATCCCTTCTCTGCGTCCCCTCCCCGCGAGGGTTTTCGGGGTTAAAAACTGCCGGCGATGCTGAGCTATGGAGCGGGATTCGCCCTGTGGACGGCGCTGGCCCTGACCAAGGTGAGCGGCCGGGAGGAGGGGGGCGGTGCAGGGTCTCCCTTCGCTCGAGGCATACGGGTGGGTTTGCGCCGGACCGGCACAGCTCGGGGACGGGGCTGGGGGCTGAGCCCGGGGGGCGCCGGCGGGTGTCTCAGAGCTGTCCCCGCTCTCCGCAGGCCGCGCCGGAGCAGGCGGGATGCAGCGCGAACCTGACGGAGCGGCGCGTCTTTGGGCAGAGCGTCCGGCTGCGCTGGGGCGCCGCGGGCAGCGCCTGCAACTTCAGCCTGAGCGGGCGCTCCGAGGACGGGGAGGTGGCCGGCTGCCTGCCCGCCCCCGCGGGCAACGGGACCTACGGCTGCACCCTGCAGGGCCTCCAGGCCGGGACCTGGTACCACCTCCGCATCGAGCCTCTCTCCGGCGGGGAGGCTCTCAACATCTCCATGCAGACAGGTAAGGGCGCGGCAGGTGCGCGGGGAAGGACGCCGGGCTTTTCCTTCCCGTCCCCTTGTTTCGCCCTGCTCGAAGAGGAGGTGAGCGATGCGTTTACAGCTACGGCAGACGGACAGTGTTTGCTGAATACAGCAGCCCTGTGCTTGGGTTCTCTTTAGCCCACTGCTAGAAGAAAACGCTGCCAACAGTTAACCCAGCAGGTTTGAAATGAGAGGGTGCTGTGAGGGGACTTGGTCAGAAGAATGCTTTAAGAAGTATTAGACCATAACATTCTTTGTGTTCATGCAACCTTGTTGTCTTCGTAGTTACTCAAGTGACAGGTTATTTACTGTGTTTAAAATACAGTCCATTTCATAGCAGGTAGATCCTCTTCAAGGACAACTTACTGTTTAAGCCCATTTCCATACTTTTATTTTGTCCAACAACAATTTAAAAGTCAGAAAGGCTGAAACTTCTTGCTTCTATCTTTTCCTTGGATGTCACTGGTGAGGTGTTATGATGTACAGTCGTGTGCAGAGCACTTACGGTGTCACATCTGTGACTGGCTGTAAAAATGTGCCAGTAGTCTGACAGAGTGCTGCCAAGGAAAGCTCCCTTTCTGTATTTGTGTTTGTGTGTGCATGTGAACAATTTAGCTGTGAAGCAATGGACAGCATAGAGCTAACAGCTGCAGTGACAGAACTGAACTCTTTCTACCTGTATCACGGGGGTTTTTTTTATAATGATGAAATAGAACATTATCCAGCCTCTTAATGATGGTAGTTCAAGACCCCAAACAGAGATGTCTTTAAAGGAGGTCCATCATTAAATATCTCCCTGATTTGCTCCCAAAGTGTTAGTTTCAGAGAAGTACTTTGCAGTATTAGTATTGAAGATTACAGCAACCAAATACTTAGCAATTACCTGTTCACAGACATCACTTTCTGTCAGAGCTTTTACCCTGCATTAACTGTGCAAATGCACTAAATACACTCCATTAATTTGCTTTGGTATCTCACGTTAAAAAAACTCTACTGACAAGTCTGCTGGTGTGATAGCTACACATTGAGCACAAGTCACATCACTTGGTAAAAATGAAAAATGGTTTCTCTGCAGACAGTGATTTAAATCAGTGTTGTGCATCATGCCAACTGGTTTTAATATTGATGACTGGTAATGTAAAAGTCAAAAGAATAGATCAACCATTATCAGTGATGGGTACAAATCATCATCATTTCTGTGCAGTAAAGTTCTATTATTGAACACTTGCATAGAAGAGGAGAAAAAGATACCACTTTAGAACATATTTTGATTAATGCGTAATCATTTAGACAGAAGCTTGTACATGCCGTTTATTAATTTTTTATCACTAAATAGATTTTGGAAGACTGTAAGGTGAAAGTGATTGAAAGCAACTGATGATTAGTCATATTACATAGCTGACATCAAAGTGAAAAGTCTGATTTAATTTGAAATGCTGCAGATTAGTGGACCATAGTTGAAGTGAGGTTTGTGTTTGGATTTTGGATAGCAGAGATCAGTGAAAAGCAAGAAATAAGAATAGAAGAACCATGAAGGTTTCCTGCAGAAAGAGGTACTCATATTGCTCTGTGGTTCCGTGCTTCCCTTGATTCAATCACAAGTTGCATTGCTTGATGGTGTAAAATACACAAAATCCAAAATCTGTCATTTTTTTTCCTAAAGAACGGTTTTGTTATGCCTGTCAACAACCCATACTGTACTGTCCAGACTAAGCTTTTCGATGCAGAATGAGGGAGAATTATTCCTCTGTATGTTTCTACTAGGGGCAGCATTTTAAACCAGTTTTCTTGAAGCTCTGATGTCAGTAGTTTTAGTTTATGATCTGCTGAGCCTGAATGTCCATAGGCATGTGTTTCTGGAAATTGTCCTGTGAATATGAAAGTATAAGCCATATGTTCAGCCATATTGTAAACAAAATTCCCACTGATTTCAGTGGTAGCAGAACTGAGCTCTCATGGGCCGTCTAAAAATATGACGTTTGACCTTGGTACTCAGTGAGGTTCCCTTTCTGAGCTCTTTTTCTAAGGAAGATGGGTGAAGGTGCCCTTTGAAGGTGCCCAGCTTTCTCCACTGACTATCAAAGGAAGCTAGGTTAAACCAGGAACTTGAAGTTTAGTTGGTTGAAAGGAGAGGAATCCCATCTCATGTGTTTATCTTTTGCAAAATGAGGTTTGAACATCTATATCATCTAGATACAATAAATGCAGACAGAAGAAGTTTCAGATTTGTTTATGTACCTAGTTCAGAAACTAGCTTTTTGCTCAGATCCAATCCTGTTAAAATCTTCATGCGCCAGTTCTGAGTTCAGTTTTCATCACGTTTCTTATACAAAGGGCTTGAGTAACTAAGCGCATAAAATTCAAAACATTTTGTTAAATTTTGTGTGTAAACTTTTCTGATTAAGAGCTCAAGGTGAAAGCAATAAATAATGTATACTGTAGCTGCAGTGGTAATGTGAAGGCTTGGAGAGGATCAAATCTCTAACTTCATTTAGCCTTTGGAGTATGTAACAACACATTAAAATCACAGTCCGTGTTGTTTGGAAATTTGATGTTCCAGTAGAATAATGGTGCAGGTCACCAAGACGGCCTAAACTATCAAGTAACACCAGATTCACCTTTGTGAATTGTTGGGTAGAAAACCAGCTTTTAGTTCCCCTATGGATGTAGAGATGTGAAATATAATAATGTGTGGAATGCTGGTACTACAATCCACATTAGACCACTAAAGTAGACTCTCTTTACTCAAGAAATTTTGATTTATGAGTTATCAAAACAGCAGGTATTTAATCCTGTAGAGCAGAACTAAAATAGATTATCCAAAACAATGCACAATACAGTCACATGTGCAGTTTATAAGCCAGGTATACACAGACATGCAAACACACACAGTGGGGACAGTTGTGATATTTTAGTAGTATAGGAAAGAAAGAAAAAACTGATAACACCATTTATCAGCTCTGAGCTGCAGACTAATTTTCCACTGCAAACCTGAGATTACAGATGTTAGTAGGCACAAGTTTGCATATTTGATTCACGTTAATATTTGCAATTACAGTTTGTTATGGTATTTTTTAATGTAGATATATACATGGAACATCACATAACACTATACAACCAGTCAGCATGCTTGATGTTGTAAAGTTGGGATAACACATGCACCTGTTGGTCCTTCCATGTTATATTCTTTATTGTTCTCAGTAAAACTATTTCTGTGACTGAGAGGTGCTCAATGACAAAAGATGGTAGAGTCATGTCTTTCCTGATTTCAGATAAAATACATTTGAAGTTCATAACTCTCCAAATGTCTGTGCACCAGTGTAACTGTGTATTTCATTGAATGGCTAGGTCTTTAATTAAAATTCTAGTTAAAAACAATAGTTTATGAACAGATCCTAAATTACAGTTAAATTTCTGAATTGAAATTCAGATTTGAAATACCAGTCTTGAGAGCCATGAAAAACAACTTTCAAATATGTCTTCTAAAATAGGCTTATAAATGCCATTTTCAAAATTGTTTTCTACAAAAATATTGCTGTGATATATTAAGTTACTGCCTAATCCGAGCCTCCTGTACTGAGAGAACTGATGGGTAAATAAGTTTTTGTTAGAAAAACCATTAAATATTTGAATAAAAAGAATTGAATAATTCTGCCTTCTAAGGCACATACTGGTAGAGTGTTTCTTCATTGTAATATGTAACTCTGTATATGCCAGAGGCATGCCTTGGCCATGTATTCACTCCTGTAAATTTCAAATTATTTGAGACAAATCTGATTTGTTAGCCATCTGTAGGAACCATATGTGACATAGCTCTAACTGTATAATTCTATCATCCATAATCATGTAATGGTTATTACGATAATTTCAAAAGGCAGAGTACAAGAAGTAAATAAATATGTTTTAAAGATTTTTAAGGTTGCATATCACCTCAAAGAAATGGATATTTGTACTTAAGATGATGCAATCAACCGTGTTTACTTAAGCTTCAGAGAAGTCTGTATGAAGTAGGTTACTGTTTTACGGAGAGGGAAAAACTAGAAAAGAAATTGATAATTTGGTAGGAAGATGGCTGAGACTGGCAGGAATTTCCCAGTGCTCAGTCTTGGGCTCATATCTCCCAGTTAATTTTTTCTCCTGCATTATGTGGGTGTGTTTGTGTGCTTACAGGCTGTGTTTGGGAGTCATGTCATTGAGGTTGGACATAACCATATCTATCGTGTCTGTAAATTGGATCTGCAGCAGCTGTGCACACAAAGCGTATCCTCTTCCCAAAAAGTGAAAATGGAGTTGCAATATAATTCAAACACCATTAAGTCTTCTGAAAGATGCCTTTGTAGACTAGGGGACATTAATTCGTATATTATCAAATTGTATAAAAAATACTTTTGTGAAAATATTTCATTTCTGTGATATATCAGTGTTGTATCATTGCCAGCAGAGACTTGTATAACAATGTAAATGGTTTTTTAAGTGTTTGTTTCCATCCAGGGCTCTTTCAGTCCAGGCACTTCCCAGTCTCATTGTTCCTTTGTTCTAGCGGATGTACAAAGCACTGAGTGTTTTGTTTTCTGGACCAGATAGATTAGATAAAGTCTGAATTTCTGAACTTCACCTTCTAGGCACGCAACTTTCTTCTTTGCTCGTGCACCTTAGAAGACAGATTACCCAGGACAGTATAAGTGCTTCTAAAAATGTAGATATCTTCTTTTGCCAAATTTGGCATATAGTACAGATTACAATGTTGATTACTTTTGCAGGACTGAAGAACAGTCAGCCTTATCCTAACTTTGTGAGAAAGAGGGTAAACTTCTTGACAGTTATCATGACTTTCTCTCGATGTCAGCCAAATAAAAACCTTTTCAGCTGGCTGTGGATTTGATCATATTTAGTGCTGGAATTTATTTCTGACTCCCAAAGTTTGACCTTTTTGATTAGAACAATTGCCTTCAAGGAATGAGATTATAACCCCACTTTTCACTTTAGCCAACATAATAGTCGTTAGTGGCTTAGTATATATTATAGGTGGAGCTGGTAGTCAAGCCTATTGTTAAGATTTCCTGGCACTTTTCATTAAAACCTCCTGTTTCAGTTGCTGTAACTGGGTGAAGTTTTAACCATTTGGCCTGAAGTTTTATGTGCTTAGTCTTTGACTTGAGTTTTAGTTTGTTTTTTTTTTTTTTTTTCTTTTTCAGATTTAAGCAGATTTAATTTGGCCTTTAAGAAAGCAGTCAAAAAAAGATAGTTCATTTTGTTGATTTTCTTTAAATTTAATTTTTATTCTCTTTTTCTGAAGAGCACTAACATCTCTGCTGTTCAAAGCAAAAATTTGAATTTAAGCAGAGACTTGGGTTCAAAGAGACATAGTATTTTTTCAAGTCACAGAAAGGCTGAGGTAGGAGGGGACCTCTAGAGGTCACCTGGTCCAAGCCTCCTGCTCAAGCAGGGCCACCTGGATCCAGTTACCCAGGACTATATCTAGTCAGTTTTTGAATGTCTCCAAAGAAGGAGGTGCTTCTTTGACATTCCTAATATACTTGATTGACAAAGCATACCACCAATACTTGGCACCACTATGTTCTCAGCAGAGCTTTGTAAGAAGCAATTAAACCCTCTACACCATCCAGGCTTTGAAGAAAAAACAGCTCAAAGAATCCTAGGCTCTACTACCACTGTATTTGTAGGGTGGGGGTAGATTTGACTTTGTCCTTTTGCCTCTTAATAGTGCATTTTTTTAATTATGTGATCTCACACTCTTGTCTGCCTTATTCAAGGAACCAGGCAACAATAACTGCATTGGAAAAATGGTCTTGTTCTTCTGTATTTATGGTGCTGTTCATAGAGAGACTGTAGTTCTCAGCCTGGATGCACCATACATTCTCTGTCTGATGGCAGGAAGGAGTAGCACGGAGTGTACTCTTGTGGAAGGCAAATTCACTTCTTAAATTGATTGGGAACCCTTATCCTTTAACTTCCCAACTTGTGAAGGCTTGATTTTGCTGCTTTGGGTTGTTTTATGATACCTTTTTAATAGGCAACTGCTTAACCTTATTGGGAGACATAAATGTCAATACCTTAGTACACCAACATGTAATACATTTTTTTATAATTTGAATGAAGTTTTATGAGTGATGTAACCAGACTCTTTTTGTTTGGTCAGTTTGCTGTCTCTTTAGAATGTATTGTATTTCACAGGTGATTTTACTTGAGAGCTCCTTAATAAGCAACGTAATTAATGTTGAGTTTCTCTGAGAAGTAGTCCCAATATTAGTTCTTGAAGGTTTATCCAATGCACCATTTGGGGTTTTTTTAAATTTATATGAACAATACTACAACAGAGCAGAAGCATATTCTATCAGAATCTGTTTGAAGTGGTTGAAGCTAACACTAAAAACAAAGGATTGTTGCCCTTAAAATTGTATAAATGTTCACGTCCATTAGAGATAAAGTGTTTAGTGACACTGTTTAGTGTGAGTGCTAGGAAATGAAAGCTGCTGCTGCCATTGTATCTATAGAGCTACATTATGCTGAGGCACTGAGTGTAATTTGCTTGGTTTATATATTTGCTGATTTTTATTAAAGCTCTTACAGTTTTGCTATCAGCAGATTTCCAGGCTTATAATATACATCCACAGTGGAAGTGTTTTGCTACGTGTGAGTGAGTGTGTACCAATACACAAAAGTAACATTTCTGAATTCTGCAGGACTTTTTTTTAGACAGGTTTCAGTGATACAATGTTTATAAATAGAAAGAAAAATACATTTTGAAAAATACTGGTGGCATGATGATGTTAAAGGGAGTTTTGGAAGAATTTTTGTGCTACTGTGTAAAATTGCAGGCAATCCAATGAAATGCAGGCAATGCAAGAAATGGTTTAACTTTTCTCTTTTTTCTCTAACTACAGATCCCTTGCCACCATCTCGTTTGGAAATTAATAAGGAAAAGACTACACTCACAAGCTTGCAGGTTCAATGGGTTCCTTCGTCAGGAAAGGTGGACTTGTATAACCTAATACTATTTGATCATGATAATAAAAAGATACAAGAAATCTCCATACCAGGAAGAATTTCAAAAACAGAAAATACTTTTTCTAATCTCTTCCCTGGAAATAAATACAACATTGTCCTCAATGCAGTCGCTGGAAATAGGACTACCCCGGAACTTCACATAAGTGGATATACTGGTAGGACTTTTATTACTGTAGTTCATCTAATTAAAACCACATAAAGTATTCTGCAGTTCTGCATTTTGAAATTAGCAAATGTGTATAATTCTTCTACATGGCAAGATATATGTATATTTGTGGAAGTATGTGTTGATAAATAGAAATAAAACACAAATATCTGACTAACATAAAGATTTGTTTGCTAAGAATGGAGTGGAGTCATGTTGGTATTGTGTATTTGGGGTTGGGTTTTCACTAACCCTAAAGAAACCAAACATCTTTCAAAAGTAAATCTCTTCAAAACTGCTGAAATCATGGAGATAACCATTAGGACTTAAGCATGTGTTTTTTTCTATACCAACAGTGCCATCCCCTGTGAAAAATATTCAAGTTAGTGTCAAGACAGACACTATCCATGTTTCATGGTCTCCTGGCTCTGGGCATGTGGATCGTTACAGGCTGGTGTTACTAGATAATCATGTCTCAGTTCATGAGATTCATCAGGAAGATCCTCTGACCTCCTACACTTTTTCAGGACTTACAGCAGGCCACCTTTACAACCTCTCTATCATAACCCAGGCTGCAGGATTGGAGAGCAGCAGTTTTCAAACAGTCAGGACAGGTATGATTTCAGAATTTGTCACAACAAAACAAGAAGCTAAGGCTGTAATCTAATAATATTATAGGACATATTTCAGAATAAAGTGATTTGTGTTCCAAGTTAGAGAACCTGTAAGCCTATTTAACTCCTTAAGTTACTACTCAACAAAGTTAGCAGCTAAAATAGCTCGTAATGTGTCTGCAGTTAATTTAGCTCTACTGCTTACTGTGGGCAGCTCTATTAAACATGTTAAGTTAACAATCTGAGCCTCACTGCCCTGACTCCTGTATCAACTTCTTCAGTGAACTGAGGCAGTGCATAGTCTGGTTATTTCACAGTACTGAAAACAGTTTAACTCCATGATTCATACTTACCTGAATGGGAGATACAGAGCTTGTGAGGGTTTTTTTTTTTAAAATGTATTTTCTGTGGCTTTTTTCTCTGAATTTCAAAATAGCTGCACTTCTAAAAAGGAAGGGGAAAAAAAATGTGGGGCAGCTTAAGAACTTTAAAATTGAATGTTGGTGGTCTGGGGTTGTTTGGGTCTTTTGTTTACTTGGTTTGATTTTGGGGTTTGTGGATTGTTTTCTTTCTTTTCACAACGAAGTACTGATCCACAGAACGAGGGTTTTAGAATTTTTTTTTCCCCTGGAAGGTTTTTCAGGACAGTGTTCTGTGGTCATTAAGATAAAATGCCATCGTAATAGATTCTAATAGTTAAAACACTTACATAGGCAAAAACAGGGTCATGCCTTTGCTTTCCTTAATTTCTGGGAAGAGCAAGGTACAGTTTTTCCTACAGAAATCTCATCACGTAGACATAATTTAAGTAAACAATATTGTTGTGTCTAAGATACAGAAATGTGTGCTGTTGCCAACTGGGCTGTTTTGGGGATTACTCTTGTTTCATTTTATTTCTTCAGACTTTATTTCTTCCTGTTGTGGGGTGCAATAACTTTAAATCTCACAGGTATTGTTAGAACCTAAAAGCATTACATATAGCTTGCAGCATGGTTTTCCATTTCAGTACCTACTGTGCTTCAGGCCTGAGAAATTAAGATACTGGAGGTAGCTATACTTTTCTTCTGATGGAGCATTTGAATAAAGGATTTTTATTCAAATCCCTTTTAGACTGGTTTAAATCAGACATAGGTGCAGTAATGCTGTAATGTTTACCAAAATGTATACAGGAATGTGTTCTTAGGAGCGTGTGCACGATCTGTTTTATGGTCAAAATGACTAGTCTGAATGCAGACATGGCTAAAAGATTTTCTGTTCCATGAAATACTAGTGGTCATCATAAGACATGTCTCTCTCAGAAGTACAGTGTCTTACACAGAGCTGGGTTCAGTTTCCCTGTGACCAGACTTTGCCCTTTCACTGTTCAGGCAAAATTGTTCATACTCCATCTCATGTAACTGTTCAACAGCAAAACTCAACTATGAAAGTTTGGAGACAGCAGGTCTTATATGTTTTGTGGTGAATGTATTTTATTCTCTTTCTTATTTTCTTTTTTTTAGCCCCAGCTGAAGTCTTAGATTTGACAGTGACTAATGATGGCAGCTTAGATGCTTTAAAAGTTAAGTGGGGAAGACCTTCGGGAAGCCTCGATTTCTATAATATCACTCTGTCTCATCTTGGATCAGTTAAAGGAGTCAAAATTGTGCATCCACCAATCACTGAGACTCACTTTGACAAGCTAACTCCAGGACGTCTTTATCAGGTTACTGCCCGCACAATCAGTGGTGAACTGTTTACTGATGGGATAGCAACTGGCAGGACATGTAAGTCTTCTACTTCAGTAAGAACATTATAACTAACATTATTTTTGCCTACATTGGCCTTGTAGAAAATCACTGTAAGAAAAAATGGTTTGTATTCCAGGCAAAATAAGATAGAGTACAATATTGTTTCAGGAATACCCCTTTCTGACTCTGGCAATAGTTAAACCGCCAGCCAAAAGCAACTCCAGCATATCTTGTAAATAGGCAAGAATAGTGCATTTTGGACCTTATTGTTGAGTGAGTTTGTTACAAGACTGTTGCACGCTATTGCACTTCTGACCAACTTTGTTATCTTGAATTCAACTTAGCATAGTATATAGAATGAGTTACATTATGGGCAAGTATGCATGTAGTCAAATTATTAACAGTTTTTTAAGTAATTTTCAAGGTCCAGTCTTATTCCTCTTTCCAGACACAAATCTGCAAACTGGAAGAGATTAGGTCTCAGCTTTCTTTACTGTAAACAGCATGGATTAACAAAGGCATGTGGTAGCCTCCTTAGAATTCAGTTACGAGTTTCTTATTTTCTTCCAGAAGTAATAATTTTCTTTCAGGTATCTCTTGTATGAGTTCTGAACCTGAAAAAAATCCTGGCATAATTTTCCCACAGCATTACTGGACACAGAGATCTGTCATATTCTCCACACCAGCCTAGCCCAAGCCAAAGTTAGACAATAAAAATGTAGAAGTGGGTGAAGAACACATACATACATTGTTAGTAGACTCAGAGCCAAAAAATAGAAAATGTGTATGTTTGTGAGAGAGCATATTTATCTGAGAAAACATTTCTCATCTACAACTAAACGTCTCATGTGAAAGGCACATCCTTGACATATCTAGCTGCTATCCGATTCTCAGGGCAGACTGGAAGAGCCCTGAAAAGTCTTTCATGTCCAATAAGTACAAAGCTGGACTGGTAACATGCCTGTCTGTTTTGTTGGTCTAGCCTACCATTTAAGTCCTTTAACATTACCATTTCCATCTAAAAGGAGAGCGTTAGGCCTCACTCAATGCCACTGATCCTCAGATTTGTGACCTAGACCCAGTGCTTTGAAAGTTGGGGATTAGAAGTCCCATTTCCAAGGGTGCTGATCGTGTGCAATTCCTTCCTTTGACTCCGCTATAGACACCAAGAGCTTTGAAAACACTTCAGCAGAAGTTTGGTGGCCTAAGGATAAACTTGTAAATCCAGGCTGCCAGGTCTATAGATACCTTTAGACTCTCTGTAATTCACAGAGAGAGCCAGGTGCCCAAGAACATAATACTTAATGCTGTGTATTGAGGAGGTGGCTACAGCAGCAGAAGCTGCCAAGGAATTTCGTGTTGAGAAATATGGATATCTCAGAGACTGAAACTTTGTACCATACAGGTCTAAGGATATCCAGCCAGCCTGACAAGGCTGAACTTTATCTGTTATAATGTAAGTGCATCTGTGCTTCCTAACAAAACACCGTATGCTTTTATTCGCTCACTCAGCAATTGAAACACATCATCCATATTCACTGGCATGGGGGAGTTCTAGGTTTGATACCTAGATACCCATGGGAAGTGAAACTGGTATTTTGTGGTGCTGGTAGAAATTTTGCAATCCTGTGCTAAATACTAAACAATTAGGTATTAACTAAGCCAGATAAAACATGAGAGCATGATTCTAGCATTGTAGTTTATAGTTAATACTTGATAATGGTCTCAGGGCTCCAGTGCTGATCTCTGAGTATCTTAATACGAAGCTAGAGAGATCCTGACCTACGGATCTGCATCTGTCTTCCAATCTCTGCTTGGTGTGGTTAATATTTAATTATTTCATGAAAATCAGAAAAGCTTCAGTGGTTCAGTGTGACCTGCAGCAGTAGGGCGAGAAGGTTGAGCATGTAAATTCAGGGCCCTTGAAGTGCAGGACAGGATGGAGTAGATGCTTTAATGGTCCTCAGTTTTAACTGGTACCTTACAGCTGGGAGGAATTAGGATGTACGAAGGTGGAAGAAGCCATACCATCAGACTTTGCATTTCTGCTACTGAGACCAGAATTTGGCCTGTAGCAGTTGAGGACTTAAGCTGTGAAAAACTGACTGACAGTTTCTACGTGAACTTAAGTGCAGAAAGCAACAGGGAAGCTAACTGAAAACCGAGAGATGCACCCAAGAAGTGCACAGGGGAGATTTTGCCTGCCCTAAGAAGGGTTCTCCATTTCTGATGTCAGAAACTAGCAGGAAAAAAGTGAGTGGTTTGTGTGGGGAAGAGTAAAAGTTGTCTTTAAAATGAAAGCCAACCTTTCCAGCAAGATACCTCACATTGCTCTAGCTGGTCCAAGTGCTTGTACAATAGCTATGGTACAAGACAGGTTTTTCCAGTGTGCAGTTATGTCTCACCAGAAATACTCCGCTTCAGAATTACTTTTTTGCTCTGTTCTTCCAGTTCCCCAGAAAGTTTCGGAGCTGCAGGCTGGCGCTAGCGGCTGGCTGAGGTCGCTGCGAGTGACCTGGCTGCCCCCTGCGGGAGACTGGGAGAGGTACCACCTACTCCTGTGGAACCGCACAGCCCTGCTGCTCAACACCACCCTCGAGAGGAACGCTACCGAGTACCTCATCTGCGACGTGGGCCTCATCCCGGGGAGGGAGTACGGCGTGGATGTTGTTGTGGAGAGCGGTGATTTGCAGAGCAAGGCTAGTTGCACAGGGAGAACAGGTCAGTGTGCATATCCAGGCAATGTAAGAGTGCAAAATGTTCAGCTGGGCTGTGAACACTACTTGAAAGACTATTTGGGAATCCACAGACGAATTTCACATTAATACAGTAAAAAGGAGCTCCCTTGTAAACTACAAAAATAAATGGCTTTAGCAGTTCTGTGAAAACCAGGGTTATTTTTTGTGGTAAATGTTTTGTTAGTGAAAGTTTTAGGAACTATTGCCATTATGTCATGACTGGGGCATTACATTACATCTGCGCTTCACCTGTTATATTTCATAGCTGATTGGAGGCACCCTATAAAGTTCTTAAAGAGAGCAGCACAGGTCTTCCTGTATTGTTCATCAGTATGTTTCCTTGCCAGTCTGTATAAAGAATATCAACAGTGTTAACCAAAGCTTCCTGAGGTGTATGTTAGTATGTCTGTTCCATAACATCCCAGTTCTTGTTCCTTTGCTCCATAAAGAAAATCAGGTTACTCTGTTCAAGTCAGTCTTCCCAAAGGAAATCCAATTACACTTCAGGGACAGGAGTGGAATTCTTTCACAGTTTGTTAGTCAAAACCACAAATTATTGCTTCAGACTTAAACAAATAATTGTAATATAACTGTTAGAATTTCTACTCTATGGATGCAAAGTAAGTGCAATTCAGAGGAAAGCAGACCTGAAGGAGGAATAACAGGTAAGGCTCAAGCCTAAGCCTTACCTCACTGCAGAATGTGACATAAGATAGGGTCACTTTACTTTTTCCTCCTTGTGTCCATCTTTCCTGCTATACCCTTACCTGTCATTTCTTGAGAATGTAATTTGTTAATTTTGCACAACAGGAAGACTCGTAGAAACTACAGAACTGAAGCTTTCTCTAACTTCTAGTGAATTTGGTGAGAGCAAGGCACATTCTCATCTTCCTTTCCTTGACGTATATTGCAAATAATTTAAGTTTATGGTGTTACTTTTAACTGACTCAGCTAAGCCATTAATAGTTGGGTTCAGTGATCTTAGAGGTCTTTTCCAACCTAAGTGATTCTATGATTCTGTAATTAGGACATAGTCCATTAAATAATACCCAGCAGTGGGCGTATCACAACTATGTTTGACCCACAGTCAGGTCCATAATGTATCTTTTATGAAGCACAGGTGTTAGGTCCTGTTGTGATTTAATTTTCTCTTACATAAACCCACAGTCTTGGGAAGTGAGTTGTATTTCAACGTGACAGGGACAGAATCAGATTGGAGACTCCATTAGGTAACAGATGCCTGCTGTGTATGCATGCACACATGCAGACACACACACATGTGAACACACGCAGAAGTTCACTGATAGAATTCTTTCTTTTATACCACTGTAAGTTTGAAGTGTGTCTCAACTTGACTAAACCACTGTGAAATCAATGTCCCTCTAACCCTATAATTTGTGTCCTTGTTTGTTACAGCTAAATTAGGGAAGATTTGTCTTATGGTACAAATGTCTTATATCCCTGTCTAGCACCCAGAGTTCAAGAGGAAGTTCACTTACTTCCCTGCGTTTCCATTTATACTCAAATATATATCCTTACGTAAGTTTAAACCTAAGCATTACAACTGTAGTCCATTTGCTGAAGTCTGCTGCTTCCAGCCATTTGGTGGAAGAGTAGCACAGATTTATAAGAATGGCTTCCTAGAGAAAGGTAAAGAATCTCCTCTTGACTGGAAATACTCTGTTGCTGTTACATATCTGTTTTGCAGAACAGATTTCTTACAGCAGCTTGAGGCATGGCAAGTGCGTTCACTGCAAAGTCCTGTTCTCCTTGTGATATTTGTGTACCTTTACAGCTCCAGAGCCTGTTCTCCAGCTCCGTGTGAAGCATGCTAATGAATCTTCACTTACTGTCATGTGGATGACCCCTGTTGCAGAATGGGACAGCTATGTGGTTTCCCTAGGAGACAGTGATCTTGCTATCATAAAAAAATTGCTTGCAAAAGAAGCTAAGGAATTCACTTTCACTGACTTGGTACCTGGACGAAAATACACAGCTACCATCACTACCATTAGCGGGACTTTAAGCAACTGGACTTCAGTGGAAGGAAGAACAGGTATCGTCTTGTCAAACTGTTTTAATCTTTTCTTCTGTTAACCACCAATGATTTTCTTTGCTTTGTATGAATTAACTCCATGTCTAAAACTCAAAAGTCTTGATCTTATGTTTGTTTCAAATGTTGTGTTTCTGAGCCTCTGATTTTTGACTGTCAGTTATCTTGCAGTATTTATTTAAGATTTTGGGGAAATGGATGTGTAATTCCTGGCAAAACAGTTTTCTGAAGTATTATGTCATGTCTAATCAATCTACATTAGCACAAGATTCCATAAAGAAGAGCAATTTTCACTGTGTATTTTCAGGAAGGTCACTTCCTTGTTTCAAAAGCATTCATCATCTGGGAAAAAAAACAAACATCATGACACAGGAAAATGTTACTTTAGGGGGAACATTCTGAGGTTGACAGACACAAAACATATGTGACCTTGAAGATGTATTTTGAATCTTTCTGCTCTTTGGATTCCAGAATATGTATCTGTTATGGGTATGATTACTGTGTCACAAGAAAGGTCCCATTCTCACCCCCTGCAGGGTGATAATTCTGTTCAGGTGTGCAAGTTTTATGTCATACATGATGCTTTACTCTGCTTCGCTTAAAGGTTCTCCAGTGCAAACAAAATTTTAAAATGTAGCTCTGTTCTGGCACAACACAGTGAAAAACGATCTGCTAGTTTTTAAACCTAATCTTATCTATGACCGCTATGGGATAGCGGTCCTTGCTTAAATTTTGTTACTCCTCCTGAGGCCTGATAAGTTTAACTTACACATTCGCTGCTATGTGATTAGATAGCTGGAATTTCACTTCCATTTGACTTATGCCCCTTTAGGAGGTCTATTCAGGCATAAAGGTTATGGTGTCCCACTTCACCAGTATGAATCAATGCTTGAAAACACATCAGGCAGGGATAATGTGTCAACATTACATTCAAAATGAGTTAAAAGGAATGAACGCCATTTAATTTGAACATAGGTTCTAATAAGCATTCCAAACCTCTGAATCTTCCTCACAACCGGACAGGCTTAAAAAATACTGCTGGAAATATGACAGAAGTAGGTCTTATATGCATCCCAGATTGGTCAGCTTCCAGTGAAGCCTGAGGTATCACTAGAAGTGCATTTAGTGCAGAAATGTGACACTCCAGTGTCTTGTTGGAGCTTACTATGTCATGATAGCATTATAAAACAGGAAGGATTTTTAATTCAGTTTTTTATCGGCTTTACATTTTTTCAGTTATGTGCCTAATTTTCCAGCTTTCATTAGTGATAGCTAATACAGTACTATGTGTGCAAAAAGACTGACATAAAAGGAGATAAAGAGTGCAATCACATTTTATACAGTTGGAATCTTCTGTATTTCAGTTGTGCTTGGTGCTGTAAGCAAAAATACTTAGTAAGAAGTAACTGTATTTCCTTGCTTTGGCCAAATATTGTCAAATTAAATAAGGAAAGAGGATTTGGGGTAAAGTTTGGGCAACATATTACATTCTTCTGTTATTTCTTTATCCTTTTTGATCTGACTAGATTAATGACCTTATACTTGGATAAATGCTATGTTTGTTTAATAGTTCATCTTTTGATGCTATAAAATTTGGTATCCTACAGATCTTCTGATGTAAAAAGTAAAACTAAAACCATCCCTCTCAGTTACACCCAAAACTAAGGGGTCTGACACAACATAGATGACTGTGCCTGAGGTATTCCTTAAACAAGCTTGACATTTATTGAAATGAAAGATGGGGAATAGGAGAGGAAAAGGAGGATGAAAGACACATACTGTATCTGAAATAGTCATTAAAAAAACTTGTGATTTCCTAAATTGATGGCTTTTGTTTAATAATATTTATAAAATGCCACCTCTTCCATTTCCCTAATCTTGAATCATTTTGGTCTGGCTGAGAAAAGCTGTGCTAAAGCCTGAAAGACCTTTTTGTGACTTACTTAGTTTCCCATAGACCACATCCCACCAGACAGGAAGCAGTCCACAGTCAGATTATTTTTAGTCCTGTTGAGTCTGGCTGCAAATTGGAATGTTCTTTTGATGCACTTCCTCAGTGTGACTAAACTTGGGTTCTTTGGGGGATTCTGGTTTTTTTTGTTTCTCCTCAGTAACATTAAGACAATTTTCTTTTCAGTGCCAGCCCAAGTGACTGATCTGACTGTGGCAAGTCAGGGATCAACCAACAGCTTGTTCACCAACTGGACAAGAGCGCTGGGAGATGTAGACTCATACCAAGTGCTACTGATTCACGAGAATGTTGTCATTAAAAATGAGACTGTTCCCAGTGAAACCAACAGATATCACTTCTATGCTCTGAAACCTGGAGGACTCTATTCAGTTGTTGTCACCACTGTCAGTGGAGGGATATCTTCAAGGCAAACAATTGCAGAGGGAAGGACAGGTAAAAAGGAAAATATTCCAGCGTGTCTTTTGTTAGTTCCTAAAAGATTAATTTATTAAAGAGAATGGTCTTATGATTAAGCCACTGCATGGAGAATCCAGAAATATGGGAATTTCATCTGTATAATTCCTGTATGTGACCTCAGGCACACTGTGGGTCCAGATTCATGTAAATACAGCTTTAGGGAGCTAACTGCTCTGCCTACAACAGGAACTCCATACAGCAGAATCACTCCATAATAAAAGACCAAAATATACCCTGAGCGTAATGGACAGCTGTGGTGGTGAATCACTCCTTGGAACAGACTTTCTTGTTCCATTGACCGCATGGTGGTGTAGGGTGATTGCTTCTTACTTAGGTGTGCCAACTATCTGCCTAAAGGTGGTGGAATGAATTTGTGTTTCAGTTGCTCATGACCCATTCTTTTTCTCTAATGCACCATCAGAGAATGTCCGCCAGGGTTAGGGATTTACTATTGCATCAAATTCTCTTAAGTTTAAACACTCACTTCACCCTTTATGTGAATTTGGCAAAGGCCAGGGATTCTGCAGTCTGCTCTAATGTTCTCCTTGAAAACAGCTATTTTCAGGGGAAAAAACAAAAACAAACCTGAAAAAACAACTGGAGAAGAATAACACTAAAAGGCTTAAAGTACATAAACATATTTTTTTAAAATCTGAGTTCTTTGTCTCTGACAGCTGATGCCCAGCCCCTCTACTCAGGTAAGTTAGTTCAGTGCATCAGAGTCCATTGAAAACGTGGCAGTTCATTATTTTTAAGCTCTGCCCTTGTAATATCTCTGAGAGTTCTGTACATGAGTGATGGTAGTTCTGGCAACGTGGAGCCTTCGAGCTCGCCTTGAAAAACAAGTGGCATTCATGTTCTGGCCACTAGGCGTCAGAGAACTCACTGGAAATGAAACACATTCAGCTATGGGCCTCAAGGTCCTACAAGCCTCAGTAGTTATTGCTGTTACTGAGAAATAGCAATTTGAGAGGATAGCTCAACTTCTGGGATTTTAGAAGTGCTGGGATCATGCCACCAAAGACAATTTATTTCACTGTATTCAAAAAAGCAGTTGAACATGGCTAAGGGATAATCAGTGCAGAACTTTCAGGAGTCCCAGACTGCTTATTTTGCAGGGGATAGTATTCCAGGCATTCCCACAACAATAAGAATTGACTAGTTAAAGCTTTTTCGGTTTTTCCTCTTTGTTGCACAGTTCCTTCCAGCGTGACTGGAGTAACAGTAAATAACTCAGGTCGCAGTGACTACCTCAGTGTGTCTTGGCTGCCAGCTTCTGGAGATGTAGACAGTTACTTGGTAACACTGTCTCACGATGACCAGATTGTTCAGACTCTGACCATTTCCAAATCCTTCAGTGAATGCTCCTTCAGCAACCTTACTCCTGGAACGCTTTACAATGTGATGATAACCACGAAGAGTGGGAAGTATGAAAATTACTCCTTCAGCCAGGAACGAACAGGTAAAGAGAGGCTTGAGCAAATCCAGTCACTGTAACCACTTTGTATAGCCATTATCAATCTGGGATAGATGTGTAGGCGTTGGAGGGTCAAACCATAAAATGACAGCTTTATAGATTTAGTTTTATTCTTATACCCCTGTTGCTGCCTTATGTCCTACAAAAATACTTTAGTGTGAAAAAAAATCATATGTCAGTCCTTAGGAGTGAGCAGAAATCACGTATCAGTTTTGGCTCAAATGTTTTGTCCTGCCCCTAACCCCTCTACTTGGCTCTTCAAGTATATCCTGCAGAGCATCTCCCCAGAAAGTTACTCAAGCACTGAAAGAACAGATTAGGATAGGCTAACTAGTGCCATGTTAGCAAGGTATCACAATCATGAGTAACATCCATGTCAGTTGGTTTGGGGGCTGTAACACACGTCCATGGTTTTGGTCATGCCAAGTTCCAGAATATTGTAACAGGAATAGAGAAATCTCAGAAAAGGGTGGCAGAAATGATGGAAAACTTTTTAAAACTTTCTCAAAGATTGAGAAGAGACTTTACACTTGGTAAACCAGTAGAACAAAAGAAAGATGGTGAGGGTGTTAAGGTGTTAAAATGACAGAGTATCAAGTTAATGCAATTTTAATCTTCTCATGATATAAGTGGAAATCCAAGGATCAGCCATGTAAATAAGAAGGACTAAATTCAGGATTAGTGTGAACCTGTGGAACTCAGTACCATAAGCAAAACTGACCAAGTTCCTTGAGACCAAATATTGGAAAGGCAAACCATTGTCCTGTGATGTAAAGCAGCCTGGAAACTGCAGTTACTCTTTTATTGCTTAAATCCACATTGTGGTCTTTTTGCAACTTCCTTAAAAAAGCCTGGTAATTACCACAAATATAGTCCACTACCGCAACTCCTGCTACTTCAGGAAGTTACTGCTTTATGAAACTCTGTGTTTTTTCCTTTCAGTCCCTTCAAGTGTTCAGGGACTTACTATCAGCAATTCAGCTAGAAGTGACTACTTGAAGGTGTCCTGGTTACATGCATCTGGATATTTTGATAATTATGAAGTCATCATCAGGAACAACAACGATTTCATCCAAACAAAAAGTGTCCCAAAGGATGAAAATGAATGTGTGTTCACTAATCTGGTCCCGGGGAGGCAGTACAGTGTTACGGTCAGCACAAGGAGTGGGAAATATGAAACTAGTGAAAGAGTCTATGGCAGAACAAGTAAGTGGTAACATTGGTAACCCTGGTAACATTCTGAGACACCCCTGTTTTTTTTGTGGGGTTTTCTTTTTTTTTCCCATACCCAGGCACAAAAATCTGATATGATTTTAACATAGAATTTTGACTGTGTCTCTTTGAATGTGTATTATTCAAATACAGAAAGCAGTATTTAGTTTATGGCCAGCTGTTAAGTTACAAACATTAAAAAAATGAATGAAGAGATCTGTGCTGTGATTTTGGAAAGCAAATCTTGAACCGTTGAAAACTGGAAAACAGTGGTACAGTAAGCTTACTGTTTGTAATTAAATTATGCCAGAAGGTACAAGACAATTTTTTCTGGTCATGGAAATGTATAAGGAAGAAGATAGACTAGACTTCAATCTACTCAAACTACCCCAAGAACTGGAATTGGAGAGCATGGAGCAAGGGTAGTAAGGTGGCTAGTTGTGAGCCAGCAGGGATCTGGAGGCAATCTACCTGGCACTGCATGTGAGTTAAGGAGCCATGCTGAGACACTAAGTTTATTAACACAGATGTAGCACTGGGCAAAAATAAATGACCTGTATCTGGCAGATGTTGGAAACTGTACATTGTGGTGCTGCATCCCGCAGATGGATTGCCTTGGCTCTGCACTAGCTCACGCCTCTTTGCACCATATTTGTTGTACACGAGATCTTACTCGGTTTCTGTTGACTAGGCAAACTCCCTGTAGGCTCCATCATTATTGATTTATTATTTTTATGCTGATAGATTGGGGACTCCTGTTCTGAAATAGGACCTTCTAGTGTTTGACAGGGTGCAAACCACCCAAATTACTGCAATCTACTGCTTTTCCTAGGGAATTAAATGAAAAATTTTAGCTCAAAAGCGTGGCTTCAGATCTGTTAGCTTTTTGCTGTGATCTGTTAGTAAGTACTGAGAAGTTTCCTATCTTTCTTCTCACCTCTTCAGTGCCAGAGTCAGTGAAGGAACTGACTCTTAGTAACAGGAGCACAGAAGATCTTCAGGTAACTTGGTCAAAGGCTGAGGGGGATGTTGATAAATATGAGATTCAACTCCTCTTCAATGATATGAAGATCTTCCCACCCATTTTCCTTGGGAACACCATTGAGGAGTATTGGTTCACAGCTTTGACTCCAGGACGTCTATACAAAATTCTTGTCTTGACCATCAGTGGAGATGCACAACGTGCTACTTTCATAGAAGGCCTGACAAGTAAGAAATTATGTGGTGTTAAAAATGTACTGAGGCTTCTCTAGAATGAAGCACTGAAAATCAAAGGTGAAACATGATCTTATTCAAGCTCCAGTGTTACAACACTGGCTCAGAGACAGCAGATCGCATTGAAAATCACACTAGTACTACAAACAACTTGATCTGTTGCTTAATAAACAAATTTCACAGTTACCATTGCTTGATTATTGGCAGATCATCTGATTTGTTGCATGGGAATCATATTGAGATGTCAGCATTTGGGTTTCTGTTATTCCCGTGCATGCCAGTTGTTTGCTCAGTATCCGTAGCTAAATTGCTATCTATTTTACACCTCTGTTACCCACCTGTAATGAATGGGTGTGGTAATAACTGCAGAATGGCTAATTACCTAAGGATACATAAAGAGATTTGATTTTTTGAGATGTTTTTAAGATATCATGTGGGCAAGAGGGAGGTTATGCAAATAAAATGAGGCAGAAACTGTTTATGTTGCATTTTCTTTACTTTTGCTCCTATGAAAACAGAGAATTGCTTTTCTAAAATGGCATAATCCTACACAAATGTCTTACACTTTACTTGTGTTTACTTGTGGGTGAAATTACTCGTACCTGTAAATGATCTTTGTCCTTTGAATTATTTGCTGTGGCCATTAAAAGGTAGAAAGTAGTAAGTCTGGATCGAACAGGAAATTTGTTAGCAGGTGCCTTTTTGTTCCCTTTTTTTTCCAGTTCCAAGCGTGGTCAGAAACATTCACGTGTCACCTAATGGCATGACAAACAGCCTGAAAGTGAGCTGGACTCCTGGAGGTGGAGATGTTGATTCCTATACAGTGACCATATTTCAGCAAAACCATCAGCTTGATTCCCAGAGTGTCTCCAAACATGTCTCTGAGCACACGTTTCACAAGTTGGAAGCTGGGGAGCAGTACCGGGTGGTGGTGCAGTCTAACAGTGGCACCTTGCACAACAGCTTAGCAGCTTTTGGGAGAACAAGTACGTTTCTTTTGAGACAAGGAGCAAGTTGTATTATGTCTTCCCATAAACTGACCCTTATTCAATAATGTTTATGAAGGTACCATTGGATATGGGGACACCCAGACTCATGAGTGACTTATTAGACTTTATATCAAAGAGCATGAGTCGTGACTCTTGCGAACACTTAGCATGGGTCTTTTAATACCAGTGAGATGTCACATGACTAGCTTTACTTGAGTGAATGTGTGTGTAATTCAGGTCCCCAGCCCAAAGTCTGCCTTCATGGGATGAGTTCAGTCCCATCCCTCTCATGTTTTAGTAGGGTCAAGGCTTGTTAAACAATATATTGCTCCAGTATCCTGCACATCAGAACATACAAAACAATCCAACAGCTTACTTTTAATCTATCCTCTCTCTTTAGCATCTACATGTGTTAATTACCTGTGGCCTTGTGCAACAGCTGCTGGCTAACATTTTCTGTTCTGTGCCACTATGTTGCACTAATTTACAGCTTTATTTTTCAGTTATTTCTCATATGCCTTTCTTAACTGTTTTGGTCAGTTCACCCCACTCTCCTTCTCCCTCTTTTCATGACAGTTTGTAGATATCTGTTGCTTCTCCATGCCCACTTCAGATGTCCTTGATGCTCTTTACATTTGTCCGATTGTATTTATGCCTAGGAATTATTTGTTTTGATAAACATATGCGCAGACATTCCTTTTCCCACAAGTGAACTTGAAAGTGTATGAAGTTACGTTTTAATAATTACTTCATTCTCATTTGTTTATTGAATGGTCTGTATTTCACCTGGTAATGCCCTGCCTTTAATTGTTGTTTCCAGTTCCAGCCTCTGTCCAGGAATTATTAGCCGATCACGCTTATAGCAGTCATTCCTTGTTAGTAACCTGGCAGAAAGCTCCTGGTGTAGCTGAAAGATACGACATCCTGCTCTTGAATGAACAAGGAGTCCTTCTGAGCAACAAATCAGAGCCAGCTACTGCCAAACAGCACAAATTTGAAGATTTATTAGCTGGCAAGAAGTATAAAATACAAGTTTTGACAGTCAGTGGTGGGCTCTTCAGTAAGCGTGCAGAAACTGTTGGCCGAACAGGTAATCAGAACATCTTGGTTTATTTATAGTTCCCTCAGTCAAATAACATTAAATACATGAATCATCTGTATATCTTGATTCTGAAAAGATTCTAGTAAGGAACAAACTTCAGATATTTATGGTAATTTTTCTTGATATGTGCTTGGTATGTGAATCTGAAATTCATTATCATAACAGTGTAACCATGATTCATAATAAGGATATTAAACTAAAGTGCTGAATGCTTCCCTCGGTCTGTCTGTTATGGAACTACCTGAATGATTTATTGTCATTAAGTTTTTAAATCACAATCTCAAGGCTCTTAGTGCAGGATTTGACTCACTGGCATCTCATAAATGCTTTCCTCTTGTTTCTGACAGTTGTTGCTGGTATTACTTAGCTACTTGTGGCTTAACTGAGATTTATTCCAGCCATGAGTTGTTACTTTACTAAAGGTTCAACTTAGTGGCTAGACTCTTTGGTATTTACTCTTGCATTTATCCTTCTTTTCAGTTCCAGCAGCTGTTACAAATCTGAAAGTCACAGAGAACACCACCGATCGACTGTCCTTCAGCTGGACCACCTCGCAAGGAGAGCTTGATTCATATGACATCTTCCTGTACAACCCAGATAAATCCCTTCATGACAGGATTTCAGGAGAGCAGCACCTCCAGCAATGTTCATTCCAGAACCTGCGTCAAGGCAGGATGTATCGAATGGTGATTGTTACCCACAGTGGAGACCTCACTAATGAGTCATCTGTTTTTGGAAGAACAGGCAAGAATATCTAAGAAAACCACCTGTGCTCATGGGGGACACCAGTGAGCTGATCTGAGTCTGATGCTCATACTAAGCAACTTTCAGAAATATCAAAATTGTCTCTTATGTTTAAAAAGCATTAGATTAATAAAAAAGTAAATTCTGAATGATGTGGTTACAGCAGGAAAAATGAAGTGAAAAACTTAACAACGGTTTCCAAAAACCCAAGTCAGGAAAAGAGCGTATCAGCGTACGCTGCTTAAATCTTAAGGGGAAATGGCTGTCTCCCATCCTAAAAGCAATATTGGTCTATGAGTGGAAAAGGCAAAAAGGCAAACCAAGTAGGGTTAATGAGGTTGGCAATCTACCAGTGAAATAAAACTTTTTTCCCATGGGGAGCTCTGGCTGCAGCTTTGTGTTTGTTCAGCCACATGTGGGAAGCAGAGTTTTCTAAGCAGCTCTAACACTCTGTGAAACTTTTCTTTATTCTTCTGAGGCGCCATATAGTAATCCCTCCCTAAGACCATGTTTGCACAGTGGTATACTTTCTTCAACTGTCTCAGAATTGGATGTTTCCAAACACTGACTGGGAAAAAGCTGCTTAACACTTGCAGAACTATCCGTTATAAACATTTCAACCTGTCTTGGGAACACTGGCCGTTCAAAATAAGAAAGGAAGATACTGATGCTACCAGGATGTTTCCTGGTGCTTCCTGGCGTTCTGGCCAGCTGTGGTGGCTACCTACTTTTATTACATGATGATTGTTACAGGATAAGTGTAAGGTCTGTTTCCTTCTTCTCACCCTAAGGATGTTCTACATAAAACAGTACTCATTCCTGTTTTTTTCAGTACCTGCCCCAGTTGTTGGTCTCAAGGCATCCAACCGCAACATGACGGACAGTCTGTGGTTCACCTGGGGTCCAGCAGCAGGAGATGTTGACTTCTATGAGCTGAATCTTTACAACCCAAATGGGACACAGAAAGAAACCTGGCAAAGGAAAGACCTGAAAGAGTGGTATTTCCAGGGGCTCATTCCTGGCAGAAAGTACACTCTGGTTGTGGTGACTCACAGTGGTGACCTGACCAACACAGCAAAAGCTGAAGGAAGAACAGGTATGGGATGTTTTTTTAGTCCCATTTGTCTGAATTCATATTAGTTCAGAACTGTGCAGCAGACTTACTTACTCTTAGGAAGGATTTATTATATAAGTTATTGAAGTTGAAAAGATAATAACCTTAAGTACATTAAATTGATGGAAAGAAAAACAATCATCACTGTTTTTCTTTCAAAGGCTCAGGAATATGTAATGTCCATGAAGGTGACCATTATCAGCGCAGGTTTGGTAGCTGGCTGTGTACACAGGATAACACAGACTACTTTGTGCTGCATGAGGAAAATAATACGTTTCATCTTATTTGTCTTGTGCAAAAATTTAAGAATCTCTTTTTCTTCTTTCCTTTTTTCCCATCTTTCTGTGTAGCGCCCAGCCCCCCTAACACCGTATCCTTTACTGATGTTGCAAACACTTCTTTATCAGTCACTTGGCTGGGTCCTCCAGACTGGACAGACTATGACGATTTTGAGTTGCAGTGGCTTCCAAAGGATCCCCTCACCGTATTCAATCCCTACAGCAGCAGCAAGTCTAAAGTACGCATCATCTATGGCCTGCGACCAGGAAGACTCTATGAGTTCAGTGTCAGAACTGTCAGTGGCGACAACTGGAAGACATACAGTCAATCACAGTCTGCAAGTGTGAGAACAAGTAAGTAACAGTTTGCATTGCACCCACACTCAGCTGGAGAAGATGCAAAACTGTTAAATCTTACCAATTCGTTACACAGTCAGTAATCTCTATTAATTAATTCATTAATTTAATGGTGAATTCAGCTAGATTCTAAGCCCTTGCTGTGTGCAAGGTCAGCTGTTTAAAAGATTGAAAATGCACATACATTTATAATCCAGAGTGGGACTGTTTGGTTGCAGAGCCTGAATCAGTCAGTTTCAGGGGTAAAATAAGGTTGAATATGCAAACTCCTCTTGACAGTAGAAATTGAAATAAAATGTTTCTGAGTAATAAGACAGGAAGGATGAATGAAACTGTGCTGTACTAGATTTGAAACTGGAATCAGAGTGTTTCACTGCTCTGCGTTTCTGTCTGCGTTTGTGGATGTGTATCATCTCTAGCAACCTCAGTAACAGGCTGATTCGAAAAAGTGACCTGGAATTGTAAAAATAACTGAGCCTTGGCAAATCCTCATGTCGTTTGGGATGGGATTCAGCTTTCATTTGATATCTGTTTAGTAAGCTGTATAGCTTTGTAGATTTAATTCTGCATATTAATTAAAATTTCACCTGTATTTAATCACTTAAATGTAATGTCTGCCATCTGAAAGTGATATCCTGTTTTTATTATATGTCACATGTTATAAATGGTGCTTCCATATTACATGGATGAAGCATACGTCTGTGGTATGTTTTAGTAATATGGACACAGCATATTCTACCCAGGAAACCAGATCAGTCATGAGATTACACTATCAGTATTGACTGGTACTGATGACCACATATAACCTCCAAATAAATTGTAACAGTGTTCTAGAAATCCATTGCTTTGCAGTGTTGCTGTTCTTGTTAAGACTTAAGTAAGTAGGTTTTCTTGGCTTATTTTCACAATTAATTACTGAAGCTTCACACACCTGATGGGGCTGATGTCACTAGATCTGATTTCAGATGGCTAAAATGAGTTAGAAGACCTTGTGTAGTAATCAGACAGCACACAATTGCAGGAAAGGTGGGAATTCTGACCCTCCTGCTCTTATCTAATGGTTAATGCAGAATCTAGGAGCAGAGAATGTATGATGCCTGTCCCTTTTCTCACTGAGCTTCAACTTCTCAACGTTTTTCTAGAACCAGACAAGATACAAAGTCTTCACTGTCGGCCCCAAACCTCTACTGCCATCGCGTGTTCCTGGACTCCTCCTGATTCTGATTTTGATGGGTATAGTGTCGAATGCAAAAAAATGGACACTCGTGAAGTGGAATTTTCTAAAAGGATAGAAAAAGACAAATCTCTACTTAATATCATGACTCTGGTTCCTCACAAACGATACCTGGTGTCCATCAAGGTGCATTCTGCAGACATGACGAGTGAAGTAGTTGAAGACAGCACCATCACAATGATCGATCGTAAGTGGAATTCTGGGCTGCCCTGAAGAGAGGCAGTGAGCAGCAATAAGCAGTTGCTTGTGTTGGTTAGACAGCAAAAGGAGTTCTGAACTCCACAGTTGCCAGTGTGTGGCACTTACAGTCTTGTGGCTGAAGTAGACTGAACCTGTCCTTTGGTCCCTGCTGTGACAGACAGTGCAGGATTTTGATTATATTGCCTCTCATTACATTGCCAGACCCAATTATTTGGCTCATTCATGAAATACAGCCTGAGAAACATGAACAGTTATCCCATCACCCTGTCCTCATCATCACATGCCTTCAGTTGTCTTCATGGTTCTTGTTTGGCTTCCTGTGTCTGGCCATTTCCTCTCACGTATTGGAGGATGGAAACCATCCTCAACACAGATATGCATCAGTAAGGACACTGGATTGTGGTACTGCGTTCTCTTTGGGTTTCTGTACAGTCTTCTGAGGTGCTACTTGACCAAATCACCTGTAGGAATTTTACATGAGGGAGGATCACAGATATCCATAGCATATGTTTTGAACCAGCTTCTTCAGTTCTCCACCCGTAGGCTGCTGAGTGGAGGGTAGTGGTAGCATCTGCTGGTGCCTCTGAACTGCAAGGCATCACTGCAATCAGCAGCCTGCTCCAGTTTTTGCAGTACCTCAGGATTCAGTGGCACAGCGCAGGGCAAAAGCTTGAACTGTTCCAGGGCTAAACTTCTCAAAAATGACAAGATGGCCATGAAGCCTATATTCAGGATACCTCTATAGCTGCTTATTAAAAGCACGATTTTTTGAAATGCTAGATCATAAAAATAATGTTTGCTTTGGGAGATACTGAGCTAAGCTGCAGAGTTCAGTCACCAACTCACCTCCATTCTGCCATCAATTGTCATCAATTGCAACCTTGTAATCGCCTTCCTCTACCACAAAGAATGTTACCAATGCAGATGTAGTAACAACTAGCTATATTTGTCAAAAGAAGTGAGAGTAAGTCCTATTTGAAGGTTAGCTGTTTCACCTTTGTTCTTGTTTGTGTTTCATGTGTGTTTGTCACTTACTTGTTTTGAACACTGCTCCTCTCTCAGGCCCCTGGTTAACACTGGAGACCCCATCACAAGGGAACACAAAAATTTGCAGCTAGACTTTATAGAGGTTTAGCTAAATTAGGAGGTTTAGCTAAAGTACATATAAATGTGGGAATTACTGGTTCTTTTGAAATTTAGCCACTTTTTTACATATTGGATATTTTCCATATGTGCAATATAGTTTCAGTAATACAGATTGTTAAAAGATTCAGCAATGTAGATCCTTAAATTCCCCACTTTTGCCACACTTCCTTCCCTGTGTACTTCGCTTTTCGGTTTACTTCTGCTATGTCACTGTTCAAGGTATACCTTTGTATCACATGAAGAACATTTCCTATGGAAATTCTGCAGGCAGTCTGGAAAATGGTACTCTGTAATTGAATGCTGTGTCTGACTGACTCTGTCTGTTCTTCTGGAAAAGGAAGCAGCAGTGTAGATGCTTAAAATAGGTAAATTCCTATAGTGAGTGTGCTAAGTGGCCTACAAATGACTATCATAAACTTGTGTCATTTTTAGTAGCTACAATTTCTGATTTCATAGACTTAATAAGATTTTAATGCGTTTCCATTTAGGCTTCTGCAGGAATTCCCACCGAGGACCTGTCACTGTTATTATGGTGAACTCACTGCTGGCTTGTTTCATCTTTTGGCAGTTTTCCTGTGGGAGGTGAAGACACTTCCTTGTTTGCAAAGAGAATAGAATTAGAGACTTGGATCCAGGCAGCTGAGATTTATTAAAAATTGCATTTCCCTTACTAGATCTAGCTCACAGCAAATACACAGAGAATGCTTTCTCTCTATTTTTTATTTATTTATTATTTGTTTTAATTACTCAGGTCCTCCTCAGCCACCTCCAGACATACGAGTGAACAAAAGAGAGGTGCTGATTACCAAATCCTCCATCAACTTTACTTTTAACTGCAGCTGGTTTAGTGATACTAATGGAGCTGTGAAGTACTTTACTGTGGTTGTGAGAGAGGCTGATGGTAAGTGGTTTAATACTATTCTCTCTACAGCCTATAGGAGTTGCATGGGGAGGTACATCCCTATCACTGCACAGCAGAGGGATTTCTCCTTGCCTAGTGGCTGTCGTACAGGTTTTGGATCTATACTTCCTCCCTAGCCTGGGGATGTAGGAACTCAGTCCTATCCTCAGAGAGTCAGTACCAACTGCAGAGCTCACACAGAAGGTTACATTCTCACTCTAGGTTACATTCTCATGTACGCTCAGACAATTTCTGTAGTAGGAGACTTACTTTGGATGCCATTGGCAGCGGACATGGAAGAAACTGCCTTGCTATGCACAGATCTCAAAAGGTAGTTTAAATGTTATGCTGAAGCACTAAGACAACTCTTTTGGAGAGTCTTAGTAAGTCATGCTGAGAAGTCAAAGGTTTGCCAAGTGATGTTTGCTTACTGAAGAAAATTACTTTGCATGCAGCACTGTAAAACAAAACAGAAATTGTCCTTGTGGCATGCATGTAAACCTCCCTTTCTACAGTTGACCTATATGAGGCAAATCAGATGCATGTCTCAACAATTAATACCTTGTTTTTAGAAGTGGCTTCATTTACTGGCATGCCAGGATATATTTTGTGACCCTTATAAAAGTTGCTTAATCTCTCTGTCTATCAGCCCTTGGGAAAAAAAGCAGAGATAATGTTTCCACTCTCTGCTCTGCCATGTTTGTACCGTAAAGGTCTTTGAGAAAGGGACTGCTCATTGCCATGGCTTTGCCTACCTGAGTCCTTTAACCATTATTGTGAATTTACATTCAGAGAACCTCTGTCATTTCCTATTGTGGTTTTTCACTATATAGAGTAGACTTGTCGGTGTGTGGATTTTTTCTACTTGCTTTTTGAAATAGCTAGTAATAGGATCCAGGAATCTGAATCACAGAAACTCCCAACAACAGCACTGGAAGAAATGTCATAGAATTGGATTTTACCTGTGTAATGCCTATATCAGCATTGTATCTGGGAAAGTTACACTGAGGTCTTGCAAGGAAATCTGCCTAAAGAAATAATAGAAGGGTTGGTACTAGAAACAAGGTACCTTAACCACTGTAGCTTTGTATTCATGAGGTAGCCTCCAAGAAATAGAAAATTGGATAAGAATGTTTGTCAAGAGGTTGAGCCTATAAACTGCATCACATTAATGGCTGTGGCATCTGAACCTTCTGTTTTTCTCTGCACATGACGCAGGTAGTGAAGGACCAAAGCCTGATGAGCAGCACCCATTACCTTCTTACCTGGAGTACAAACACAACGACTCTATACGCATCTACCAGACAAATTATTTTGCCAGTAGATGTGCTGAGAATCCTGACAGCGACTATAAAAGCTTTGACATTAAGCTTGGAGGAGAAATGGAAAATCTGGGAGGAAAGTGTGATCCAGATCACCACAAATTCTGTGATGGACCTCTAAAGCCTCGAACTGCTTATAGGTTAGATTTATGTTGGTAGCTGTGCTCTGTCACATTATTAGGCATGATGCTGTCTGGGTGCCTGATCCATTTGAGCTTCTGTAGATTAGTAGTTGGGTTGTACAGTGTTCTTTGTGTTTCACTGTAAATTTATAAAAGTTTTATCCGTGCCCCCGTTCCATGGGTAACAACCAGTTTTTCGCTAGTTTGGAAATTATATGATTAATTATGCACAAAACTGTGCAGTGAATAGGCTTATTTATGTACCTCAACTTGATGGGAAGTTCTCTTATAGCTGCTAAATATTTCTTTGGAAAGACTTAAGACCATCTGCTAAGTCAGGAGAAGGCAAGTATGCTTCACTCAGTCTGTACGCCAGCACTACCCCACACCAGTCCTTTGGAACAAGCTAGAAAAACTTGGAGGTTATTCTATCCTGTGGCACCATCCCTAGGCTCCAGAGCTAGGCCCAGGTTAGCTGTAGGTTGTAGAAGAGGGTGACTGCCAAGACCAGGCTCAGCAGTTACGCAGGCTGTGAGACCAAACATGAGCTCTACAGGGGCTCAGCCCACAGGGGGCATACTCTCCCAAGAGACCTGCAATCTTCTCACTGAAAAGGCACAGGGACAGAAGGCACATGCCAAGGAGTGCACATCATACCTCTTAGCTTCTTCATCAAGACAGTGCTACCCTACTATAGTCTGCTCTCATTAGGGCACATTTCCCAAAAATTCAGTCTGGGAAATACCCACATTACACAGAGAACCAAGAGGACTGTAGCAAATCTCCATTAGTACAGCCATGCCCAACCAACTGAAGGGAAAACGTGTCCCCACCAAGAAGCATTTCTGAGTCCTCTCCCCTCTGCAGCTTCTGCTTGTCCTGACTTCAGGCATGGGCAGGCTGTGTGTGCCAGAGCCCATCTGTTACCTCTGCCAGGGTACCTCAAAGCCCTCAACCTGTACTAGCTGGGCTCCCCAGTATTTAACTCAGGGATCAGTATGATTAATTAAGTAGAATACTGATTAATTAGTATTTAACTCAGGTGCCTGTATTAAGAATTGTCTGTGGGGGTGGAAAGGTTTTAATTATCTCTAAGGGGCAAATAAGTTCTTAATTGTCTCCTGTTGGCTCTGAACATCTTGTGAGCCAGAACTGTAACCATACTGATGCTTTTTTTTAGGATCAGCATACGGGCTTTTACCCAGCTTTTCAGTGAAGACCCGCAGGAACTCCCTAAACCGCTCTTTGCGGACACCTTCTTCTCTTTACCCATCACTACAGAGGCAGGTTAGTTTCAGGCTCATTATCAGTGACTGTACCATGTGATTATATATTGTGCTGAAGAACAGTCTGGTATCTAGAGCTATTTGTAAGGAGTGGAACAAAAATGGATTCCTGTGCATGTCCTGAAGGCTGCTCTGAGGTGAGGCTGGAGCCGTGTTTTATCTGGCCTCTGCTGAAAATTCAGAGGACTGCTTGCAGAGCTGCTGGCAGCAGAGAAAAGGATAAATGCTCAGTGAATTATAACCAAGAAAGCTTCAAAGTGCGAAAGAACCATATAATGGGGTTGTGCTTTCTTTTACTGTGTTTGGGAGTGAAAAATTTTGTGTAATGTTTGGAAAAAATAAGGACAGAAAATCAAGGCCAGGTTTTAGCTAAGTGTTTAGGTGCCTTACACTTCCTCCTATTTAGCCATTTTCTTTAGCTGATAATAACAGATCCCTTGAGAGTAATTGATTCTCCAAGTCTTCTAATCTTTCCCTCAAGTTATATTAGTACACTGTTTTGTTTCTAGAGCCTCTGTTTGGAGTTATTGAAGGTGTGAGTGCTGGCTTGTTTCTGATTGTGATGTTGGTGGCTGTTACTGCTTTATTTGTCTGCAGACAAAAAGTTGGGTAAGTTATCAGTCTCTGTTACTGAAGTAATGTCAATTTATATTTATTTAAGTAATACAGTATGTAAAGTGTAACTGTAAAATTGGAGGAATGCACAGAACCATTCAACAGACAAAATCTGTGTCCCGCAGTATCTGTGTACACTAAGTGTAGAACTTACATAGTAAGAAATATATGTTTTTTATTCAAATGATGTCATAATTATGTCATAGAGGATTCTTGTAACTTAGTTTTCAATAGAAGTCAGAATATATCTGAAAAACTGGCTTATCATTCAAACTGAATGTCTTTTGTTTCTAATTAATTGCACCTGCATTGTAGATGAAAAGCTATTGAAACTGATCATTTAGATATTATCATTTCAATTCAAAAATATTGGGTGTGGCATTTACCTCAGTGTCCAAAAGATTAGTTTAAACTTTACTTCTCATTTTTTGTCAGTTACAGTTGTGTATTTTACATTTTAGATGAATCTTAAATAGTGAACTTTAAATACTTCATATTTTAAATATATTTTAAGAAGTGAAATACTCTATCTCAACTTTGGAAAAAAAGCTTTATCCATTTAAATCATTTTGCATGACCGGGAGATGTGAAATTCCTTATGGTTTCTGAACTTTAAAAAAACCCCTCAGCATTTCCATTACAAGGAAAACACTGAAAATCTAAAATTCAGTTCTTTTACTGATACTAAATTAAGTCTGTATTTTTTGAATTTGCTTTTCATGTGCCAGAATTTCAGATTGAAAGAAGACTGTTTTCTGACTAGTCATAGCTTTTAGCCAAAACAGATAAACTTCGTATAGAATTTGGTTTCTTGTTGTAAGTTATATAGCCAGCAGAGTGGCAATTACACCAATATGGTTTTCCCACATCATGCATAAAGTGTTCTCTAAGGGAGGAGTCTTGAGGAGATGGCAGGAAAAGGATGAAAGGCATCACTAACTGTATGGAGTAAGTACCACTTTCACGGCTTTCCCAAAGATTGCTGTGGTTCTACCACTTACTCCTGCTATGAACCTGGGCATCTGCTGGCGTGGTCTGCAGAGTACATGTTGGTGGAAGCTGTAGGCCTTTTACAGCTCTGAAAATCTCCCTACATGTTCCTCTCTGCCTGTGGAGAACCAACTAATTTAGGGCCTATCTTAGCAAAGGACACTGTCCTTGATGATAGACTGGGCTGGGAGTGTTTCAGAACAAGAAAATAGTCTTACTGCCTGTCCCATGCATACACTCCAGGTCACTATTGCCAAGCTAAAATCCAAAAAACTCTGTGCCCCAGCTAAGAGCAATGTTACATGATCAGAGCCACAAATCAAAACTTTCTTAAATTCCTTTTTTTCCAATCTACTGTTTTCCAAGTTATGTTATTGCCAACTCTTCCCAGTATCAGAACAGATATAACGGAATACCTTCCTTTTTATCCAGCAGTGGCCATGAGAGATCTACAGCAAGGCTGAGCATGCGCAGGGAGAGGCAACTGGCAGTCCATCTGAACTTGGGGCAAAAAGGGTAAAGTCAAATTTATTTTTTTAATATGGCATTGGGGTTGAACAGATCCATCTGGTCACTCACTGATGAATTGTTTCTTTTTCTTTTGAAATCATTTCTAGGAACCGGAAAACTTCCAGGTAAAAAGAAAAAAAATAATACCTAAAAAAGCTTCTTGGTAACCAACTGTATAAATTATGACTGCGATTCATCCTGTGATTTTCTTCCTCCTGTTGAATATTTTAGTCCGATCAAAATCAGTCACTTTGAAGCACACTTCACCAAACTTCAAGCAGACTCCAACTACCTTCTGTCCAAGGAGTATGAGGTGGGATCCTAACCTAGGCAAAGGACTTGCTTTATGAAGGGGCGGGCTGGCTGAATCAGCAGGTTAATGCATTAGGAAGCTCTGCATTTATCTTATTCACACAAACCCAAATAAATTGGAGTGTTTCAGCTGAACTCCACTTGTCCAAGTGCAGAAACCAGCTCTTCATTTGGCATAACATCTTCTGGTTGGCAGCCTCTGCCTGATACCTATCTGGCTGAGATCAGATTTGCATGGCAGCGTGTGTGTAATACACCATGGAAATTACCTGCCAGACATGTACTTGGTTTAAAACAATATGATTACCTATGTAATTTCAGTTTGTTTTTTAAAAAAACAACCACTCTCAGTCATGGCCTTTGAGAGCTGATAAGCACTGTTTCCCACTGTGTTGTCACGTCCTTGGATTATTTTCACCTCGCGTTTTATTCTTTTTCTTTTTTTTCAGGACTTGAAAGATGTGGGTCGAAACCAGACATGTGACATAGCACTTCTGCCAGAGAACAGAGGGAAAAATCGATACAATAATATATTGCCCTGTGAGTTTTAGGTTTGGTTGTGTAATATTGCATCACACCAGCTATTTTTCACTTTGTTTCAGCAAGTCTAGTGGAAAAGAGAGTGCAGCCAATCCCTTCTCTCCTTCCTGTCAGAGATGAAATATCTCTGCCAGCTCAGGTTCTGGTGGTTGGAGGCAGATGATGCATAGCCCTGAATGGCTTCACACAGACCAGTAATTTAGTTTCACACTGGAGGTGTAATGACTAGCATTCAGCCCAGGGAGAAAAACCTTGAGCTATTAGGGGCATTCAGTCACTGCTGGTAACAAGGATAATAGAAATAACAGTAGGATTGTTTACATATGGGGTATCATCCATTCAGTGCTCTTTGACAGCCTTGCCAAATCTTTGTTCTTCAGAGCACATAGCAAACTTCCAGTACAGTGAAGAGCTAGTGTGATTCTGCATGGTACATGTGTGAGGTTAACCCTGTTCTCCCAAGGCAAGATCTAGACCTGTCTGTCATTGAGAGTTTCCTCCTTTAATCTCCTACATGGCACTTTTGGAGGTAAAACATTAAGGAAGAACACCACATGACTCACTGCTCCACATCCCCACTAATGGACGTGGTATGTGCTTGCAGCACAGCCTCACAGCATCCCCTGTTGTGCCTGCCTTGCCAGGCTGGGCAGCATGCTTGCACTGTACAAGAAATGACACCTGACCGAAATCCAAGGTGGCATTATCTCATGAATCAGTGACCTGGTGGCTTAGACATTCTGTACATTCTGTACAGAAGGCTGTTTACCTAGGGAAGATGTTTGGCCTGCTCCACATGTTAGCTCAGAAGACTGCTAAAGCACAACTGTTCTTTCAAGGACAGAGCTGGGCACTGCTTTTCAGTACAGCACACTGGTGTTAGGATCAGAGGGGGATGCTATTGTGGCCCTTTTATTGTCATAACAAATCCTGTGCAGCTCAACAGAGGAAATTTTGGATATTTACTACTTCCTTCTTACCCAGCCATCTCCTAGTCTTTGGAACACTCCACAGCATGCATGAATGAAAGAGGCAGTAAAAATAAAAACAGTTATTCCCTTTAAATTAGCTCTTCATATAAAATCTTGTAAGAGTGCTGCCAGTCCTTTCAGAAATGCATTTTTGTGAGTGAGAGAGGGACTGAAAATCACTTGTTATCAATTTCTTCCTAGATGATACATCAAGAGTGAAGCTATCCAATGTGGATGATGACCCTTGCTCAGACTACATTAATGCGAGCTACATACCAGTAAGTGATTCAAGGATGGTGTTTTACAGTCCTCCCTTCAGTGGTAATTTGTCCTTAATCTAAAACTGAATATAAAGCTTGATAATTAGGGCCCCTCTCCTCCTTCATTGACTCACTTGAGCTAAAAATCTGAGAACTTATTTTGTGGGTGTGCTGAACGACTGTGTCTGACTGCCATTAACTGTGAGTGATTTACCCAGCACTTAAGGGCACTTTCTTGGATTGCTATAGTTATGTAAGATAGCAAGTCATATTGACCAAGGACACATTTTTAAAGGTTGCTGATTTTATACAGTGTCAACTGTAGCTATCACTGCAGGTGGCGTCCTCATTGTGGAGCTGTAGCTCATCCTGACAGCATTGGCATCTGGCAGGGTGGTGAAACTGGCTGAAATTAAAATAATGCCCTTTGACGAAGAGTTATGATTGATAATAGCAGTGGCTTTGGCAATCCAGATTTCAAGCCAGAACTCAGCTAATTTATTAAAAATGGTAAATAAAGCAAAAGCTCCTTGCAGTTTCAAAATTGCTTGAGACTATGCTGAGCTCAATAGAAAAATAAAAAGCTTTGACTGCCACAAAAGGAGCAGTATTTAGCTATACTGCTAGAGTCTCTTCCTTCTCTTTGTTCCAACCAATCATTTGCTTCCAGGTCCAAGGCAAAAATTTAGTTCTCAAAACTATTGTCCCAGCAAAGGCATTGTTCCTGTAGAGCTCTGACTGCAACCCTGTGGCTTGTTCAGTTGCTAGAAGATATTTTTTTCTGCCTTTTTGGAAACTAATGGAGTTCTCTTTATTTGCAGGGCAATAATTTCCGCAGGGAATATGTAGCAACTCAGGGCCCTTTGCCTGGCACCAAAGATGAGTTCTGGAAGATGGCATGGGAGCAAAATGTTCACAATATTGTCATGGTAACCCAGTGTGTTGAGAAGGGCCGGGTAAGAGTGACTCTTCTTTATTATTAATCACTGTTTTAACATTTATTAAAAGTTTTTGCTTAGTATTTGCATCACACTAATGTCATAAAGGGCCCAGTTAAGGACATATACCGGAAGAGATAAGAGGTATAATATAAATACTGGAGACAGATTAAGGCTGGGAAGTGAGGATGCGGAGACTATCCCAAGATCATGCAGCATGTCAAAGTTAGGAGTTAGGAACAGAGCTCATTGTTTCTGGTCTCTAATCCAGGACTTTGTCCTCTAGCACTAATACAATTCCCTTAAGCATGCAGAAGGACAACCACCAACAAAAAGTGCTTGTTGATCCACATCAACTCTGATCAACTTCTACTTCAAAAGTAAGCTCTGGAGAGCAAATGTTGATTGGTAAATAGATCAAATTATGTATAACCCCTGATGTAGCTAGCAAAGAGACTACTCATGCACTTCACATCCTACTGAGTGCAAGTGGAGCATACCTCCCCAGCTATGACCACGTTCTGCCTTCTTTGTAAGGCAGAGAACAGGTCTGTTAGAAGACTGAACAAACTTGAAGTAATGATCACCTAGTGGCACATACAGGGTCAGTTCCTTTCAGTTTACCATTTTATCCTGAGAGAGCGTGAAAGCCAATGCAGAATAGGACCTGTGTCCTTTTGCACCTTACTGGCTCTAAGTGGGACCCTACAGTCATATCTCAGCAAGAGGTGAGGAAACGGGCACTGGAATTGACCTCTCATCCAAGCAGAGGTCTGAGAAGAGTTGATGTGGAAAATGTGCCCCAGAAGAGGGCATCAGTGAAGTGCTTCCCATTCCCCCCATCACAAACATCAATTATGAGAACTTCCACTTCCCATGCTAGCACTTCCTGTGCTAGTCCATTCCCATCCCAGGCACTGTTTGTTGACATGGCAGGGAGTGGCATCTCTCTCTGAATTCAGCTGCTGCCTATGTTCCTTTCTCCTCAGACATGGGAGGTCTGAAGTTTGCTTCTGCTAGTGCTGAACAGAACCATTGTTTACAGCCGTTTCTAACATTGAGTCTGTCTTTGTGTCTCTGCAGGTAAAGTGTGATCACTACTGGCCCCTCGATCAGGATTCCTTGTACTATGGAGACCTGATTGTTGAGATGTTGTCTGAATCAGTGCTCCCAGAATGGACAATACGAGAGTTTAAAATCTGCAGTGTATGTTTGCATTCTTTTTTTTCCCTAATGAATTGGCTTAAAACACCTGCAAGGCTAAATTAGGAAGGATAAATTTCATCTGCTGTAGCACAGTTGCATCATGCCCAGCTCATGGCAGCTGTAGCATTTGCTCGGAAGGTGCATGTTGTATGTGTCTCTTCCTCTCTGGTCCTGATGACCCACACATTTGAATCCCAACAGGAAGAGCAGCTTGACTCAACAAGGCTCATTCGTCACTTCCACTACACTGTATGGCCAGATCATGGTGTGCCAGAGACCACCCAGTCCCTGATTCAGTTTGTCAGAACTGTAAGAGATTATATCAACAGGACCCCAGACACAGGACCAACTATTGTACACTGCAGGTATGTGCAGCACCAAAAGGTCAGTGGCACAGAGCTCTTGAGCATACCCTTGGGAAGTTCCCAGATGTTCATCCCTGTTAGACCTTGGGCAGCCACAGAACATGAGAGATAGCTGATGAGCTTAAGTCTCCAGATACATTAGAGCACTATTTCCAAGGCACATGCACTAACCCACAGCCTTACCTTGGAGATGCCTTGAAAATTATTCTTAAGGAACCACCATGTCTCTGTGGGACCACTGGAGAGAGCTATAGGTGCCAGCAGCTGCCACTGCTCATAAGCTTTTGCATTCTTATATTGCCCATGTGCTGCTCTTATGGCCCAACATTTGAATCACTAAGGAGTGTTCTAAAAAGGTAAGATATGCCTGGAGTGAATCTGACTACATATGGATGTTAAAACCAACTGACAGATCCATCCTTTCCCCCATTCTGACTGAGACTCCCTCTCTTTACTGCCTTTTCATGCTGTTCTGCTCTTTTGCCATCTCTAGCAGTCATAGGGCTGCTCTGATCTGTAGTCCACCCCTACACATCTATACAAAAAAGGCAAAAGTGGACTGCCTGATCTGTAATCCACTGGCCAGTTGCAGCAGACTATAGGGTTACAGAGAGAGAGAGAGTGAGTGCAGTGTGGTTTTGCATCCTCTGATAAAGCCATAGGTTCACTGGTACCACCTGCTTGTAGTATCTGACCCTCCACACATTATATGGGCTGAGGGATGTATTGTGCGTGACCCCACCTGTACAGCATGTGCTGCAGCATGTCAGATTTACACTGTTATCAGCAAGTCAGCTTTCCTCTTTCCAACCTCCTGCCTCCAGAGCCCACTTCCCAGTAGTTCAGCTACTGGGAACTCTGATACTTATCTTCACTTTGCCCTTCCACAAGGCAACAACCAACAGATCTTTTAGAAACAAGACCACAGCTGTATCTCTGGGGGGAAAAAGTTCAAAAAGAGTCAGATGCAGTCTTTCAGTGTATCTCAATGATTGAGTTAATCCAAAGCAGAAAGCAGTGCAGGCAGTAGGAGAGGTTCCTCTACCATCACTATCCTTTCCTCCTTCCTAAGTAAATTCCACTATAAGGTGTTATAAAGTCCCAGAGGTGCCATTTGAACAATTTGCTTCTCACCCTGGACATCTGAACTTTAAAAAAGTATCATATGAAGATATTGAATGCTTTTATCCATCTGCTTTTCAGTCTTCTGGATTGTTTTCTTTTCCAGTGCTGGTGTTGGCAGGACTGGCACATTCATTGCCCTGGACCGAATTCTGCAACAGCTAGATTCAAAGGACACTGTTGACATTTATGCAGCAGTACATGATCTAAGGCTTCACCGTGTTCACATGGTTCAGACAGAGGTAAGTTTTGGATAGCCTTCTATGCAGCAACACCAGCTACAGTATCTAATAATCAGTCTCTCATCATAAAGGCTTTCAAAGCACTTACTCCACTGTGAAATACTACTTAGATGTATTTTAGCTCTGGGAGAATTTCTAGTTCAGGGTTTTTTCCATTGGCTCTCATACAGTGGGTCCAAATCATAACAAGTGAGGACCAAGTATAACAAGCTATGCTTCTTCTAGATTCTCTTTTTAACACTGGCCCACAGTTGTCCCAGCAGCATTATGCAGCTGAAGCGTAACAGCACACTGTTGCTTTACAGCAGTGTCCAGTAAATGATCTTTGAGGAGAGATAGGTTCTTCATGGATGGATCTAGAAGCCAAGCCTAAACCAGACAGATAGGTTGATGTAATGGGGAAAAGAAATGGAGGGCAGAAAAAATTAGAATTTTAAAACTCTAGGCACTGTGACTTTGTGGTTTTGCAGTTTATTTTTTATTGAGCTCCTCTGTCAATTAAAATGATATTGGAAAGTTGATTGGCATTCTCCTAACATACTATGTGAAAGCAAGTACATTTATTCTCAAAGTGCAAAAAGGGTAAATGTTTGGTATTTCCTTCTGTGCTTTTAAAACTGAAAGAAAATCATATTACAATAATACCAGCTAAACGCTTAGGAACTGATTTAGTAAAGGCAAATTGTGGAGGCAAGTCTTTACATTTTCCGAAAACATTAATAGAAGAATCAGAATAAGTTTGATGGGTCTACCTGTAGCTTGATATTAATAGAGCTCTTTGCTGCAATTTGGAAATAAAAATGTCAGTGGCGTGGCAGTGTTTTCTGATAATGAAAATGTTTCATATGGGTATAAAGAGAGGCCCAACTGAAAAAAACACAAAAAAAGGGATTCCTGGAAATATCGTAATCACAGAAGACCTTCGTTGGAGGGGAGACAGATTCTTAGCCTGGTCTGGGCATCTTCAGAGACAGATCCATCTTACCTTCTACATTTCCATCATCCGTAGTCTGCAAAGGTGGACAGGCATCTCCGGAGGCTGGCTTTTTCCCTAGCTGGAAAAAGGAGGCAACTACCTCAAGAGCCTAAATTTGATGTCAGACTTTAAGACAACTAAAGTTGTGTGATACAAAGACTATGTTTGGCATGAGCTTGAAATGATGTCTAAGTCAAAAGGCAGCCAGACCCCCACAAAATATCTACAGCAACAGTGAGGAGCTGAGCCTTCCCACTACCAGCACTACATGCCCTTCTGTCCCAAAACATCTGTGACTCAAGTTGAACCCAGATCCCTGTGGTAACCAGTCATGCCCCTGGAAGAAGTAGCAATCAGCACTCCAGAGACAGACTAATAGAAAACTTTTGCAGCTCACACCTACTTTCCCCACTTGAGCTGTAACATGCTTGTAGACTGATCATGTAGTTGTGTCAGTGTGCAGTCACTGAACTGCTGTATTCTCAGCAAGTCTTATTAATATGAACTCTCAATTGCATCCTGTATATGGTTTCTGACTCAGAACTGTGTTTCATCAAGGTGGCTTGGAGCACAAGCAATACAGTCTCCCGTCCTCCTGCAAAGAAATAAAGTAAATTTATCCTTGAGTGTTATGGTGATTCAGAGTTTGCAATGAGCAGTGAATTATCTTTTAAGAAACAGTAAAGGAGGTGGGGAAGAACAAATCTGCTCCACAAACTACATTTGATGTGTGTGAAGACCCTAGTTTCTGGAGTCCATGTCTTGGCTTCCACAATCTGTTTAGGGATTGGCATAAAAGATAGTTTCCCTTCTGTCAATACAGTGAAAGCCAAACCCCGCTGTGGAGCTCAGGCCAGCAGACAGTACCGTTTGCAATGAGATGCTCCAGCCAAAGGTCACAGCACCATCACACTTGGCGTTATTCAGCCACAGAAAAACAGCAACAACAAAACAATGCCCTTGCTTCAAACTTGGCTGAAAGCTGTTTAAGAAAAGAGACTGCAGCTGGAGACATGCAAGGAGTAACAGAACACTGTGCATTGTCTTAAAAGGCAGTGTTCTCAGCACAGTAGCTGTAACACAGACCACTTCAGTCGCGAATGGTCTCTGTCAAAGATTGTCTCCATGCCTTGGCCAACTTTCTGTCGTGTTGTTGGGTGGGATGCAGGGCTCTGCTCCACAGAGACAGCAGCTGTACATGCATAAGAGTAGATATCCTCACTTTCCCAAAGCCGGAGCACTGAGAAAATGGCACAGAGCAGTGGCTGAATTTCTTGTGGAAAATAAGTAAAGAAGATATGAGAGGAGAAAATGCGTATAATTACTGGAGAAATTATGTTATTGATATGTAAAGATGCTCAGCCTAACTATGGGTACCATGTTACACTAATCTAAACCACAAAAAGTAGCAGAGCCTGGAAGTTTACCAATGTATTCTATTAAGGCAGTTTGATGAATAGTCAGTAGTCAATAATATTCTGACCCTCCTTACTTCGGTTGTGAATGTCATCTTAGTTCCTTCTATGAAAGGCACTCTTCAGAAAACTCATTTGCTGCATAGTCAGAAGCAATCTTATATTTTAAAAATACTGATTTTTCCTGAAAATTTGGCTTTGTCAAAGTTCTCTGAAATATTTATATATTATGATAAAATTCTGTGGAAAATACTTCTTTTCAGAACAAGAAAACACGGGAAATTGTTTGTCTCTTCTGCTTGCTTCCCTGTACATATTAATTCTTTTACACATATGTTATACCAAAGCATTCGAAAGTAGTAGCTATCCAACACAGCACCATGTCAAGTTATGCCTTGCAGTTGCTAGAGCTTTCATTCATGGCGCGATCTATCAAAACTTACTGTGTTCCTTTATGTTTTACTGGTATTATTTCTAAAAACAGGTGATCACAAAAGTTTACTATATTACTAGTGTGAAAAGCAGATTAATTTTAGAAGTATATTTTCGTTTTAAACACCACCATTGATTTTGTGTGAGGGAGTTAGCTTGTAATGCTTTTTCACAATACATAAAATTAAATTACAAAATTTCTCAGAGTGCCTTAAAAACAAATCTTTTGCAGTGTCAGTATGTGTATCTACATCAATGTGTGAGAGATGTGTTAAGAGCCAGAAAACTTCGCAGCGAACAAGAAAATCCCTTATTTCCGATATATGAAAATGTGAATCCAGAGTATCACAGAGGTAACTTCAAGTTTATCAAATTGTAAAATGTTTCAAAGGTAATTGACGGACAACTGTGTTATCCCTTACCACTGATGTTTGTTCTCTTCCTGGACCTTCATTTCTTCACTCCTCTGCTTTTGTCACTCTTGCAGTTGTGTCTTTATTTCCTTCATTATTAGTCATTATAAAATCACTTCCTGCTCCTACCTTACCCTGTCTCACACTTCATGATTCCTCTGCTGTTGGGGGAACCGAACCCCTTTCCTATCAGGATATTGGCTTTTACCTCACCAGTCTTTACACCATCCACCCTTAAGCATGCTGAGGCCACTGGCTGTGCTCACTGGGCTCTTCTGTCCTTCATGGAGTTCGATTTCTGTCCTGCATCCCCCTCATTTGTTGTTGACTATATAGGCAGCCCTAGGAGACTTCCCATCTGCCTTGACTGGAAAATGTAGATGTTGCAGGCTGTGCTCTCTCTTTCCCCACAAACTCCCCATTCTCACAGGCTCTTTTCCTATCCTGTATCCAGTCCCTCACTGATCAGAGATGCCAAAGTAGCAAACCTGGCACTGGCACTGCCCTTCACCTCCTGTTCCCATGGCCAGATGGCCAGTTTGAAGAAGCTGTAAGCAGAGGTGGTCTGTGTGCCTTGGTAGAGCTGATTCTAAGGGTCTGCAGAAGTTTTTAGGGTCAGACAGCAGGATCAGTAGCTCCACAAATTTGGACATTAGGAACTGAGGTTATATAATGAGAGATCAAAACAATTTTCTTGATCTAGCCTGTAGAAATCAGACTTGTCATCAATAGTTAGAACAGGCTTGGAGGAGGCCAATGACTGAAATAGCCAGGTTTCCACAAGTTGAGAGTCCTAAAAAGCAGAGGTGGGATTTGCTCTTTGCTGTCACGTCAGTCACCAGCCAGCACTGCTGCCACACAAGCTCCTCTCAGAGCACTGTAGTCAGCTGGCAGAGTTGAACATGAAGTTGAACATGAAACCACCTGTGTTGTTTTCCTTTTTCTAATATCAGTTTTCCTTGCTTTCAGATCCTGTTTATTCAAGGCACTAAGAATGTTAGAGATACCTACTTTTGTGACCACACTTGATGACTTGGGGGTTTGTTTGGGGTTTTTTATGTTTGTATTTCATGCACCAGAAAGGTGCCAGACCTTTCTACTGAGACTGTGTATAATTTATTGGTCTGGTGATTTTTTAAATAGATATATAAATTAACTATAATAGGTATTAATGTATATAATTGTAATTTGGCATTATGTAAATATGTATTTTTTCTATATTGTTTATATTAATATTATGCTTCAGATAATACTATTTTTTCTTATCACAGTTTTTATAAACTGTTCTACATAAACTATTTTAAATTCAGTGGCTAACCGGACTGCTGCATCTGGGGTGGTATTGGCATGACACGGGAAAAATCCTTTAAGGAGAACCTCATTTTTTTAACTAGTTCAGTGTTTGTGAGATGAAATAAGCTACCATTAAACAAGGGAACAGTAGTCCTGTATAGGAATTACAGTGCTACTCTACACTTCAAACTTACTGCTTTTCATCTGACAAAAATGGGTATAACCCACAACACAATGGCATTTTTAAATTAAATAAAATTTACCTTTTACAGGACTCAGTAACAACTGAGCAAAACAGGTTTCACCTCACCGGAAGCAACAGTCTCAGTCTAATGTGATATAGTAGAAAAATACTGAACAACATACACTGCCATGAAGTTTAGCAGACTTGTCTCCCACCACATACTTTGAGGGGAGACAGGCCACATTCTGGTTTCTTTACACTGGTTTAAGAGAGCAGAATCAGACAACAATCTGTCTGTGCATTTTCATGTGTGAATAATTCTAATTAAGAGAGATGTTCAAAAAATACCTCAGACGTTTGTGTTAACAGACCTGTAAGGATGTGAAGTCTGACAGCTTCCATAGCTCATTAGAAACAATGCTGTACCGTGAGAAATAAAAAAGTAGATAGATTGCAAACATATTGAAACAAAGATATATATCTCCATCAATTAGCACACCTGGCCTTATGCTGCTTGCAGCATAGCTGCCTTGCCCCAAGTGTTGATCACCTTCAAATGCCACTTGTTCTCGCAAAGTTTGGCCCCAGCATGTCTGCACAGAAAGAATCCTCCACATGAATGTTGCCTAATGCCCACCAACAAGGGCAGTGGAAATGGAAAAAGGCTTATCAGTAAGCCAGGGAATGTAAGCTGGCAGGGCAGTGCTAATCACAGAATCATCAAATGAATTGGTTTGGTTTGGAAGAGACTTTAAAGACCATCTAGTTCCAACCCCACCTGCCCCAGGCAGGGACTCGTTACTCAAAACATTTACTGACTGGAAGAAGTAAAAGAGCACTCAGCAGGTATCCTGCCCAGCCAAGTGGATTATACACAGCCTCTGTACTCTGCAGAGGCTTCTCATTCAAGGGTCTAAACACTGTTCAGCTATTCTTTGTCTTTATAAAGTGTTCTTCAAACAAATAGAGAAGAGGCAGTACATAGTTATTCTCCATCACTAAAAGAAGGAAGAGCTTCATAGTTCTTCTATCTATCCAATACTTTCCTGAGAGAAAACTTAGCTTGTTACTGAAGGCATTTGTCTAAATTCTGCTTCTGCTTTGGAGATAAATAAATACTTCTGAAGGCCTTCTGAGAACCAGTCAGTAAGTGACTAAGCACCTAACTGAGGATACTCTTGTGGCCCTGAGCCACGTGCCTTACTGGAGGTGCACATTCCTTGCTGTAGGAATATCTTCCTGACAGTGGCTGAAGAAATCTACCAGGCAGCTCTGACATAGTTTTCTTAAGAAATCATTCCAAAGCAGAACCAGCAGGAATGTGCACATCCATGTCTCTCTGGTCTTAGAGAGAAGGAAACAGCCCAATAGTCAGTCTTCCTTCCTATTCCATCTGGAGTCTCATACTTTCTTGACCAAATATCTTCATATGCCTTAGATATGAAGACTTCATATCAGCTTTCACAGCTGCTCGAAACATGGAAGCTTGGTTAATCTTTTAGGTGTTTCTGTATGAAAATACTGTTCATTCCTGGTTTATGTCCTCTTTGGCACCACACAAACCTCAAAATCCAGCACCCTTAATTGAAACTGAAGAAGAAAGGAACTAAGCATTAGAGTGGAAGACATTTTCACAGAGGAAAATCTAAGCAAAACCACAAAGAAATGTTCAGAGTCCTTCTTTTCTCTGTTTCCTTTGCTAGACTGACTAGGTTAGCAAGCAAGGACAAACAAGCGTGGCAGCTTTACATCGATTGTTGACCCTGCTAAAAACAGATGGACTTAAGGCATCATAAAAACTGCTGTTGTGTTACATGTGCTGCATTTAGTCCTTTCTTTTTGCAGGTGTAGCTGAGGAGCAGAGATCACCATGTTAGTTACCAGCACATGTTAATTACACTGTGAAGACATACCGAATGTACCCTATAAATTATCTCACACTATATATCACTATGTGATTTTTTTTTTTTTTAATACTGAGGGAAATGGAACTCAGTAGCATACGATCTGAGAGCAAAAGTCTGATTGCACACTATGTATGCATGTTGTTCATCATTTTCAGAAAGGCATACATCATTCTGCTCTTTATTTTATCGTTCTCAGCTCCTTGCCTGTACCTACAGAGTTCACAAATGTGTACCCAAAACAATAATGTCATAGCAGACAACTAGTTTCATCTTTTCTCTCGGCTAATAATGGACACAGTTCATAAGCATCTTCCTCCTCATCACTTATTAACATGACAGATGACCTTAAGTGCTCTGACAGAGCGCTCATGAGCAGCTTTACATCTCTGCCCAGCTAGGTCACACATAAGACAGTACATACACATTATTGCTCTGGTTCTGCTCTCTAGCCAATTCTGCTCATATAAAACCAGCATAAATCCAGTGAGAAAAAGTTAAAAGTATCTATGTAGCATTTATTAATATAAAACACCTACTTAGCAGTATAATTAATTATGTTTACTGTGCCTCTAAGCTGAATAACAGGACTGATGGGAAATTGTTAGTGTGACAAGAATGGATTTGAAGGAGCCTGTGTGCTGAACAGAGACAGATCTTAAGGAAAAAGATATCTTTTGAATGTCTGTGAATGACGCTCAGAATTCCCGTCTTGATGTTTCCCAATAATAATGTTACAAAGCAAGGCTAGTGTTGTAGCTGATCCATAAGCTAAGATTTGCACACTTGGAGCCCAGTCCTGCGAATCTCTGCATTGACCACAAAGCTACCTGAGTACTTTCACGAAAGTCAACTGGAATGCTTGCCTGAAGAAAATACCATTCCACTTCTGAAGCACTTTCAGGGTTGGGCTTTTAGGTTAACTCAAATTTTTGTATTGAAAGTTATTTAATAATGAAAAAAATTTAATAAATGGGTTTTTTAATCTGTGCAATACAATTACAAGATCCACTACCGAATGTAGGGAAAAAAAAAAAGATTTTACATATCTGGAGTTGATAATTGATAGTTTTTGTTACTAATGGAACACAAAAGTGGGTGAGAGAAATAGGCATACTGTGAAGATGTCATAAAAGTGCAACTTTATACATTTTTCTCTGCTGCTATAGTTATTTAGCAATAAATAATGCCTAAAATTGCCAGAAATATTATTTTGTGCCATGATATATTATGAATTTCCTTTCAGTTGTAGAACAGAGAAAAGAAAATGTGTGAGCTTTAAGTTTATATTATGTATTGTATACGGTTATTTACACTTTAACTTTGAAACCAGAAGTTAAATACAAACCAGAGAGGAGTACATGAGCACTTAGCCAAGCTCCTCAGCCTGGGATTTAATATATGGGATAGAGGGATAAGAACAATAATCATCTAATCACTATATTAGCATCTCCTCCCAGGGCTGCAGATTGGAGAAATGCATCTGACATTCACACATAGAGCGTCCTGCAGCCACAACTTCATGACCAAGGAGTGGCATGGCAGGTGCTTAACGTTTATTCAGATTTCTTTCCGTACTTCAGACATACAGTTTGTGTGAATAAAATGCATTATAGGATGACCAGCACTCCCCTGATGGCCCTGTCGTGTGATGTGTGGGCTCTGGAGCTGTGAGCTTTGGGACCTACAGTTCCAGGGGCAACTCACTGCAGACCCTGTGCCCTCAGCTGTCCCTCTCAGGCTGACAGAGTCAAACTCCTGACCTGTTGGTAGCACCACTATGGCCAAATTAAAAACCCACGATTTTGAAATGTGGCTAGCTGTAAATTCTTTGTCAGTGCCTGGAGTAAAGTGCCTGAAAAACGTCTTCAGCACATATTCCATTCTCATATGCAATATAATTACTTATAATGACTTTTCCTAACAAACACTGGGTGAATACAGAACTGTGCTACTATTGTCAATTTAATTTATGCATTTAAGTATATTTTTATATTTTCAGCTACAGTCAACAAATCAAATATATTTGAGTGTATTTTACACAGTTTTATAAATAGTTCATGAATAAAACATTCAATTTTTTAAAATCACATTCTTGTCTTCTGTTTGACTGCCCTTGCATTATGGATTTTGTTGTCCTGCTGCTCAGAGAAAAGGTCATAAGTCAGTTTGATTTCAATTGAGATAATCTTCAGAGAACATTAAATTCATCAGAAGCCTCAGCCTGTTGGGGGGAAGGGGGCTCTGCTGTTGCCCACTGGCCATATTAGTGCCCATGTGGAAAGATACCCTTGTCCCTTCTCCTCCCTGGTTCTCCACCCTCCTCCTTTATTAAACCAGATACTGTCTGCGTTATGCAATGGATATCTGAAACCACAGTGGATCTTGAATTTGAGTGCCCCTTATTTTAGCGACATTTCACCAGGCAGTTGTACCAATTAGCACCACACTGGAGGTCCATCTCTGCCTACCACTCAAGGATCTGAACCACGCTTTTTAACAAAGGTATTTCTTCTTCTCCTGCCCTCCACAGTTCTTAAAAGCTATTACCATTCTTGTGGGGCCAGGGTGCTTGGCAATATGCTCTATGTCTCAGTTACTCGTAATTGGTCATCAGAAGTGTTTAAGACAAGTTAATTCTGTTTATTTAAAAGAAAGATTTATTGGCTTCTATTTTGTGCTGTGAACTATTTGCTGAGGGGATATGTGAAGGCTGAAGGAATTGTTAGGTTTTCAGTTTGTGATATAAAAGTTTGTCTCTGAGCTCTATTCTGTCCTGAAGCCAATGCAGACACAAAAGTGATAATGATAAAATAATGTACAGTTAATATCTCCACGCAGGAGAAATAAGGCCACCATTACAGGTAAGGATAGATATAAATGTTTTTACATGGTACAGCAAAGAAACTGAAACACACAGAGTCTCTTCTAGTTCAGAAAGAACACAATAGGTGATTCCTGTTAAAATATCACCAGAATCTAGATTTTAACCTGCTGCCTCCTGCCTGACATCCTTTTTATACCCAAGGTAGGTGGTTACTGTCATTTCCATCATGTGAAACCTCGCTACAACAGGCAGCTTTGTGTGGGAATAAGAGATGGTCCCAGCTCCTTGAGATCTGCAGTAGTAGTCAGCAGCACCAAGCACGCATGGAGGCAGCATGGTCCAAGAGGGCAAAGCTTTTTGTAGACCTCAGAGCCTTTAAGTCTCCAGGGAAAACATCATTTTAACACCCACAGGTTTGCTTTTGCAGAGGTCCTGGGCCCCCAAAAGAGGGTAAAGTCCCCCTAATGACTCTCACTGACCAGGCAGGGTGTCCACCATCATCACAGGGAGGATCCACTGCAAGCATAGTTGCAGGGGCCATCCACACCCCTCCTTAATCAAATTCCCAACTGGAAAGGGTGGCAGAAGCATGCCCTAGCCCTCAGAGATGCTCCAGGTGGGTGCACACAGCTTCAGGGCTTGAGGAGAGGAAACTGAGGCAGCCCAGCTGCGACTCAGCACTGGTGTGGTTCCTCCCTCCATGCTGAGTCCTTCCATCCCTGAGCTGGGGGGCCGTGGCACAGGGCGGGGACTGCAGAGGCACATGATGGGGACACA